CATGGTATAGATAAAGAGAAAGTGAGAATTACTGTATTGTGTTGTAAGGCATCACCTAAAGATTGTGCTCCAACATCTCCGATTTGATTACAACTGAGGTATAATGTGGTAAGTGTCTAGATGCAAAAGTCGAGGTAAAGACATGGTATAGATAAAGAGAGAATAAGACTTACTGTGTTGTGCTGTAATGCATTACCCAAAAATTGTGCTCCAACATCTCCGATCGGATTATGTCGTAGTTTTAGTGTTGTGAGTGTCTAGATGGAAAAATCGAGGTAAGGACATGGTATAGATAAAGAGAGAGTGAGAATTACTGTATTGTGTTGTAAGGCATCACCTAAAAATTGTGCTCCAATATCTCCGATTAGATTCCGCGAGAGATCTAGTGTGGTGAGCGTCTAGATGAATAACTGGAAGTAAATACATGGTATAGATAAACAGAGAATGAGAGTTACTGTGTTGTGCTGTAATGCATCACCTAAAGATTGTGCTCCAACATCTCGGATTTTATCGTTCAAGATATCTAGTGTGGTGAGTGTCTAGATGAAAAAGTGAAGATAAAGACATAGTATAAATAAAAAGAGAGAATAGATGGTCGGTGTTACTTGAGGTGAGATAACTGAAATAAATGTTGCTCTAACCCCGTTTCGTGTCGTACGGATTTTAATATGAATATTTTAAGGATTTTATATACTACATAGTATTGCGATGATGCGTTGTGAAAATCTGGAGTGAAAAGAAGTCATCAAGGGTGATATAAGGATAGAAACGGTTGGTCTTTAAGTCGCTGTAATGTTTGAAATGTGTCTGAAAGAAGGAAAAGTTTTCAGTTAATGAAGAATAGTTTGTAAGGCAGTGCTGGTCAAAGCAATTGTCAAGCGCAATACTATGTACCCATATATGACAATGTATATTGTAGTAAGTGTTTTTGAGCATAGAAAAATATGGTGCAGCGCGTGTTGGTATTCCGTAAGTACGATAAAAGATAGTTTCTTCTTAATAGTTAGTGGACGGTTTTCGTTCATGTTTATTGTTCAGATTCGTTATGTGTTTTGCATTAGAACTCCGTATGATTCATTTAGTTGCGAATGTATATTGCTTTCGATGCCAGCACAGGATTGCTTTCAGAAAGAAACATTGATTCATAGAAGGTGAAAAGTTAAACAATTTATTCCGAAATGTTAGATTCATTTTAATGAAAGACAAATGCATGGTGACACGTCGTATAAAAAAGATCGCTGACAAATTATTCTCGAAATTTCATCCCTGAGAAAGTATGCTCCAGATAAAATCCGTTTCGAAGCAGTTATTTTGAAAAAATTTGCTTTAGTAGTAGTATTCTTTAAAGAAATATTCCACCTTGATAAAATGAGCATGACTCATGTGACTGAACAAGAATATGAATATTGCTGTGAATCAATCTTGCCTACATCCTCATCCACCGTCATCTTCATCGATAATCACCCATATTCTTAAAGAGGTATTTGTCGGAGATATTTCTCAAGAATTTATTGAAATGGTATTTAAAAGAAAAGGTTCTTTGATACACGTGAAAAGCAAATAATAATATTTTGTTCCTTTTTTTTCGTTCTTATGTAAACATCGTATGTTTATGACATCATACCTAGTTTGAAACGTGGAATATTTGGATGAAATAGAAAAGAAAGAAAGAAAGAAAGAAAAAAAGAATTTATTTTTTCTGATTATCATGGCACTGTTCATATTGTCCTAATATAAGAAATGAATTATTTTGAGTGAGAAATAGTTTATTCCTGTATATTTTATTGGAGTCAATAGAAAAACGCTTACCTGATATCTGTAATAACTGTCTATGATCGCATTGAATCGTTGACATACGTTTCTCATTGAGCATATAAGTGTTAAATCCGATTCACAATCCAAGATTCGGTAGACAAGTTCTACCGGTAATGTAAGAAAGTTGGTGACAGTTTGATTTGCCATTCTAGACTGTTGATGAAATGTGTATTGCGTAGCCTTATATTCTGGTTATATTATGTGTTATTATTTTTTCTTTCGATTAAATGAGTAGATGTTTGTTTTGCTATTGGTGTTACATGATGTTGCAATTACTTGTTGAAAGAAAAACGAAAAATAATGATGTCAACTACAGAATGACAGAATTGCCATAACAACTCTACACAGAGTTTTTGTTACGATTGTTATGTCGATATAATCAGCAAAGTTTGAAGGAAGTTATTTTTATTCAAACTATATTGTCATCTAATCGTAAAATCAAACATATATATTTTATAGTATAGGAGTTTTAAAAAAATGTGTTTCTTTTTTATGAGAACAGCAATATTATATAACATATACATATGTTAGTTTAAATTTCCAAATTAGATAAACTCATCTGTTGAATTAGTGTTCACTCGATCCTAAGGCAATCGTATACATTCAGAAATGTCTGAAAATCTTGAAATCATCATTTAAATTTAATTTAATAAATGAAGAATTAATATTAAATATGTTATTAGAGATTCTGACGTTCACACTGTATATATTTTAAAATCTCAGAAAATATAGCAATTCTCACCAATGCCATCTATCTCTCATTTTCAATTGGTTCGCTAATAATTATTATTTATCCTTATACGTGTGTATGTGTGTTGTTCTTTTTTCAAGACTCTGTCATTCATTCATTCTTGTTTTATTTGCAACGTTTACGTATATTGAAATGAGTGACATGTCAGCAACAAAGCAACTTGCTGGAGATATGAATTCTCCTGCTCCCCAACATTCAGAAATACCACTTGGTACTTCTACAGACAATAATGTTAGTTCTACTAACAATAATATGTAAATATAATATTAATAATGATTATTGTTAATCTATATTGTTCGTTATTAGGTCTACGTGGGCAATGTCTAATCTTCAAAAATTAAATGTGACTGAATTATATACTCAACAACGTCAAAGTTTACGTCCTTGGCTTGATTTTTTTAATACAAATCAATTTAAACCACCAGCAAATATTAAAGCTGGTAAAAAATAATTTGATTATTCAAAAAAAAAGCAAATTATAATTTCATTTTTTTTTGTTTAGGTGCACGTCGACTTGTTTTCAATGTTGAACATTTTCAAACAAATTATTTCATTGTAATTATTATTCTATCAATTTATTGCATGTAAGATATTGAATTCGTTCTTTTTGTTTTGAAACGAAAAACTATGATATATTTTCATTAGAATTACAACACCTGCTTTACTTTTCATATTATTAGCAATGGGTGCTGGTTGTTATTTAGTTAGTTTAAAAAATCATGAAAGTCCATTAACAATTATGAGTAAATAATTTAAATTATTTTTTGTATTGTTCTACGAATATTTTTATGTTTAGATCATCAAATTGCGATAAGTCAACAATATTTAGCAGTATTTTGCCTTTGTGTACCATTACTTTTGATGGTCGGCGCTGGTTCAGCAATTTTTTGGATTTTAGGTGCTTCAGTATTCGTCATATTTCTTCATGCACTTTTTCATCAAACACCAAATCAAGAAGCATTCGGTGTTCAAATGGAAGAAGTTTGAATGAACAAGGAAAAAAAAGAAACAGATCTTTGATTGCTTTTTTTGCTTCTCTACATTTTGTGATATGATATTCTTTTGCGGGTGCCTCTCTTAATACACATACCCAAAGCAACTGATACTATTTTCTTTTTCGACCATTAAAAAAAAATATTTATAAAGTGTTCCGTTTTATTTAAATTCAAGAATAAAAAAAATATATATATATATAAACTTATTTTAGATGGCACCATCATCAGATTATATCTTAGAGTTTAAAATAGATGTTTTTAAAACTTTAAAAATTGTTGGTATAACAACAGGAGTGTTAACAGCAATTGGTCTTGGAGCTTATTATATACATCGACGTACACAAAGTTCAAAACGTGTTATTCTACGAGATGAAGTAAGAAATATTCTTCGACCATTCCAATTGACTGAAGAACAACTTCGTCGTGTTATGGCTAATTTAAATACAGAAATGACAAATGGTTTAAAATCAGATGATACAGAAAATCTTGATTTAGCAATGTTTCCAACATATGTTCATCATGGACCAAGTGGACAAGAATCAGGAGAATATTTAGTTGTTGATTTAGGTGGCTCAAATTTTCGTGTTTCACATGTATCTATTGAAGGACGAAATCGAATGCGTTTAAATAATAAAATATTTCTCATTCCACATTCATTATTGTTAGGTGAAGGAGAAAAATTATTTGATTATATTGCTGAATGTTTACAAAGATTTATTGATGATAATAAATTATCGTTACTTAAATCTGCGAATTATAAATTTGATTTAGGTAAGAAAACTTTTTATTTGTTTGTCATGTTATTTATTTGTTTCTCTTTTAGCTTTTACATTCAGTTTTCCTTGTAAACAAACGAGCTTAAGAGAAGCTACATTAGTATCATGGACAAAAGGTTTCAGTTGTACTAGTGTTGTTGGTAACGATGTTGTACTTATGTTACAACAGGCAATTGATCGACGAAAAGTACGATTAATAGAAATGAAATCAATCAATAACTCATTATTTTATTTAGGGTCTTAAAATACAAGTTGTTGCTTTAGTTAATGATACAGTTGGTACATTAATGGCTTGTAGTTCAATTTATCGTGATTGTAAAGCTGGTGTTATTCTTGGCACTGGTAAATTACTTCTTTAAATTTAATTTTAATTCATTTGTATATATATAGGAACGAATGCATGTTACTTTGAAAATCTTGATAATGTACCTAAATGGACAGGTGTACGAGATAATATACACAAACAAGTTATTATTAGTACAGAATGGGGTGCACTTGGAAGAGTTCGTTATCAATTTTGGCATAAAAATATTTATTCATAATGAATATTAATTTATTTAGCATGGTTGTTTGGATTTTATTCGAACTGATATTGATCGTGAACTTGATGAATCAAGTTTAACACCACATCAACAAGTTTTTGAAAAAATGATTTCTGGTAAAAAAAAAGAAAAGATTGTTGTAATGAAATCGAAACAGAATTATTTCATTTTTAGCTCTTTATCTTGGCGAAATTGTTCGTTTGATTATTGTTGATTTAGTTCAACGTTCAATACTTTTTCCTGGTCGTATGCAAAAATCACCAAGTATTCGTCCTGATTATAATATATTTCTTATTCTAAGAGGTAAAGAAAGATAAGATAAAATAGAATAAAAATATATATGATTGTTTTTTAGGAAGTTTCTATGCGAAACATGTTGCTGATATTGAGAATGATACAAGTAAAAGAGCAAAAACAAACTTTCAAAATATCTATTGATTAAATGAAATTTTTATTTTTTCTTAGCCGAAGATTTGTCAATTACAACGACAATTCTTACTTCCATTGGTATTCATGATCCATCATATGATGATTGTTATATTATTCGAGAAGTTTGCAAAACAGTATCACTTCGTGCTGCTAAACTAGCAGCAGCAGGTAAACTAAAATAATCATACGTAGAAATGTATATGTTTTATTTGAATATTATAGCTGTTGCTGTTCTTATTAATCGTCTCAATATGTCGTCAGTTACAGTAGCTATTGATGGTACACTTTTTCGTCATCATCAACAATTCAAACACAATCTTACTCGTACCTTAGGTCGACTTGTTCCAAGAACAGTAAATTCTAATTGAATATAACTTCTTTCTATATTCTATTCAATCTTTATTTTATAGCATCGCTTAGTTCTTTCTGAAGATGGTTCATCAAAAGGTTCAGCATTGGTAGCTGCTGTTGATCGACGTTTAAAAACAGCACCAATGACATATGACAAAACAAATCTTCCATCATAAATTTTCAGAACAAATAATCTCAATGAATTTTCTTATATCTTTGATCTCCTAGTCATTTTTGCATGAAACATTTCTATATTTTATTTATTTAATCCTAATCTCTTATTGTTCATTTAATCATTTCTGTGAATCTAAATTATCGCCCTTTTATTTTTGTTGTCTTTCTAAATTAGTGTTTATTTCTATGTCTATATTTTTCTTTAGATTAATTATTATATGTTTTTTAATGGATGGACTTTATTTGCCTGATGGGCGTCAACTTGCATTAATTGATCGTGATTGGATTCTTGACGAACTACCACATTTAGGTAATCCAGACGATAATTCAGACGCGAATTATCTACTTGCATCAGCAGCAATCGCTAATAGTGGTACTGGTATAGTACCTGGAGGAGGAGGAGGAGGAGGTTCAACTAGTCGAAGTACATCAGGTATTGGAACAGGAAGTAGTACATCACACGGAGCTACTGTACATACAGGTACTGGTGCTAGTACTGGTGTAGATAGTACAGGAACTAGTGGAAATACAGTAATAAATCATTACGTTACAAGTGGTGCTCATAATCATAGTTTATTATATAATCCAGACGAATTTGAAGGTGATTTAACGTTACTTTCGGAAATTGTTGACGAAACACAAAATAAGTGGTCTGATTTTGGACTTAATCAATTATTAACACCATACGCACGTACAATTCGTCCAACATTTAAATAAATCAAATTGTAAAGTATTATGTTTCTTATTCAACGTTCTATAATGCGTCTTAGACGTTATTTGCTTCGATATCGCCTTATTATTCATAGACGACCAAAATTACAAAAACTTTTTCGAATTTTTCTTATTCTTATTGTTGGTTTTCTTATCATAAATATAGTTAATGGTGTTCTTTTCTCAACTATATTATTTTTTCAAGAAGATATTCATGAACCAGATTATGATCTTGATACACGTCCATATTATAGAACAATTGAAATGACAAAACGTTTTGATAGTTCTGGTAATTATTTACTTGTACAAAATTTTGTACAATATCAAAGTAATTTAACTAAAAATGCTGATTTACTTGCACTTAATTTACATACAAATATTGAAAATCTTCATTTATTATTAAATCATACCAAAGTTTGGGATGGACCTATATCATTAAGTTTATATGTAAAAGGTACTCGTGCTAGTGATGATATTGATTATGCATCGATATGGCTTCGTTGTAATCGAAGATTATTCAAAGTACTTAATGTTCATCTTGTTATGTCAGCAAAAGCATATGAACGTAAGTTATTTAAATCAAAAGATTAATAAATATTTGAGTTTTTATTTTTGATTTTAGATTCAATATCAAATCAACGTAATTCTCATAGTGTTAAATATGCAGTTAGTTGTCACTATGTTACTTATATAAATCATACAGATGAAACTGATTCAACTCCATATCCATCAAATCTTCTTCGTAATATTGCTCGTCTTGGTACAACACCTTCAACTGTTCAATATATTCTTGCACTTGATATTGATATATTTTCTGCTCCTGATCTTTTTCATCATCTCGTTTCATTTTACACACAATCAAAATCAAGCGAAGAATTTAATCGTACACTCTATGTCATACCATCATTTGAAATTCATACTGATACAGTTAAACGTTCAGCCCCATTACCACAAAATAAACGTGAACTAACTTTATTATGGAATGATAATCAATTACAACCATTTCAAGCTGATGTTTGTCCTACATGTCAATTTTTAACTAATTATCAAGCATGGAAGCAAGAAACAAGTAATGATAAAATTGTCCCACTCTTTCGACCACATTATTCACAACCATGGCAACCCTATTATATTGGACCTAAAGATGCACCAATATATGATCCACGTTTTAAAGCACATGCACATGCTCGTATAAGTCAGTGTTGTGAAAGTTATGTTGCTGGTTATGATTATAGTGTATTAAATAATATTTATTTATATCGATTAGGTTTTCTTGATAAATCTCAATTACCAAATACAGAATTAATTGATGATGATACTTCTGTTTTACTTTTTGATCAATTTCGTGAAGATCTATCAAAACGTTATTTGAATTCAACGAGAAAATGTTAATTGATCATTCCGTTTTGTTTTGTTCATTATTTTATTATTTGTTTTATACAGCTAGTTTTCAATAATTGATAAAAAAATAAATAAAAAAATAATTGTTACCAATTTTCAGATATGGAAACAGAGGAATTAATTATTCATATTCAGTCTGTAACGATCAAAGATCGTATAAAAGAATTTTTAAACTTACCAAGACCTATACATGAAGAACTTGATGATAATGAACAATGTGTTTGGTGTATGTTAATAAACAATAGAAAAATAAATACGATTTTTCTTTATATTATAGCTTCGAATATACTCTTATGTGCAACAGTTTTTCTTGAAGATGCTGTTAATTATCAATCAATAGTACATAAAGTAACAAGAAAATATTTGTTAATCTATCGATGGTTTTCAAGTTCATTTATAAAAAAGTAATAGAAGAAAAGAATAAAATTTTCTAATAAATTTATGTATCTTATAGATTACATCAAATTATTTTAATGATTAATCTCTGTTTAGCATTATTTGAACAACCATCATCATTTAGTATAACATCAGATGTTCGTGATCAACCTGAACGAATTATTTTCTCTTATAATATACTTATGATAATTGAAGGTTTAACACTTTTTTGGTTTCTTTTTTATATATCTACAAAAGTAAGAAAGTTTATATGAATTAATTAGTAATCAATCAAATAATTATTAGAGTACTTGTCTTGGTATAAAATATGTTCAAAAACGATTTTGGATCATTATTTTTTTCATTGTTATAATTTATTCATTATGTGAATGGTTTACATTGTTTATATTTATTCGTCAAACATATCATGGGGTATGTATAAAATTAGGGATGCAACGGTGGCGATCGTTGATCGCTACACCGGCGAACCAGTGAACCGATGAATCGTCACCGTTTCACCGGTCTAAACGATAATCGGTGGATCGGTTTTCGTCACTTTTGCATCCCTATATAAAATTAAAAAAAAGAACAATATTTAAAAATATTAAGTTTCGTCTTCGACGTATTCTTCGTCCAATATTTATGATAGAATCATCACAATTAATGAAAAAAGTATTTAAAGCTCTACACAAAAATTTATTAACTATTATTGCGTATGTTTAATAAAATATCACAGGTCGATGAATACGCGAATCGTATACGGCCGTGTTTCGCCGTATTTTGACGTATTACCTGTCTCAGTATTACGATCGTATTTTGTTCGTGTCGTATACTCTCGTTTACACGGGTAAACGGTCGATTACACTGGTTGTAATCAATCGTTTTTTAGTCATAAACGGCCCACCATTAGACCAGATTCTGATACCCTGAAATGGCCGTATTCTGTCGTGCAAATACGGTCGTAATACTGAGACAAGTAATACGCTCAAATACGACAGAGCATGTTCGACCTGGGAAAGATCAATAGCAATTATTATTATTATTTTATTTTCTAGCTGTATTTCATTGGCATTCATTCATATTCTTTTCTTTGCTATTATGGGAATGTTTTTATTTCCAAAGTCAGATGTATACTATTATAAAAATATTATTTCCATTAAAACAAAACTTCTTTCATATATATATTTAGATTCGGCCAGATAGTCAAAATACAACTTATTTTTCTAATCTACATGATTCAGTCTTTCAATTACTTGTTCTTTATTCAACAGCAAATAATCCTGATATTATGATGCCAGGTATAGAAAATATCTTATTTAATTTCAAATCTTTATTTTGTTTTTGATTATATTCATAGCTTATTCTGATAGACGTTTAAATGCATTATTTTTCATTGTTTTTGTTATTATTGGTAAAATGTAGGAGAAATTATTCTAATTATTAAAAGTTTTTTTTTTTTTATTTATTTATTTAATTCAGGTATTTATTGGATACAAAATATAACAACAGCTGTCGTTTATCGGGCTTTTCGAGGATATTTTCTAAATTCAATAATTAATTCTCAATTACGACGACGTATAGCTGTACGAGCATCATTTGAAATCTTAAGAAAACGTATGTCATATAATCGATCAATTGAAACAAAGTATTAACTAAGCGAAATTGAATGTTTTTTTCAAATAGATAAATTTAATTTTTTAGAGATACAGTACCAATATCAATTATTCAAACAGTATTAACTTCAGTATCGATGAATAAATGGCATTTTAATCAAATTAATCATGTTAGGAAAAAGAAAACGAAATTAATCTTAATACAATTGACATATATTTCTTTTTATAGTGTTTAAATGAATTCATGTATGAAAATGACGTAATTAATCTTGATCAATATACTCATATCATGCAATTATTAGATCTAAATCCAAAATTAGCACCAGTAAGTAAAATATATTCAAAATTAGAAAAATATTTATTTTCTTTAAGGATCTTGATATTGAAGCTTTAAATGAAAATCTATTCGATCGACTTAAAGCTGTTGGTCGTTCAAAAGCATTCGATTTCATCGGAACAATATTTGCTATACTTAGCGTACTTCTTGTTACAGTAAATACTTTCATTTAAGAAAATTATCTTCTTATTTTTTTATTTTGATAGATTGAAGTTAGTCATCATCATTTAAATACAGATTATGAAGATCTGGTTATATATATAATACCAATAGCTTTTATTAATTTAAGTTTAATAATTTATTTTTTTCTTGAAATAATTGTTAAAGCATGGGCATTTGGACCGATAATTTTTTTTCGTTCATCAACTATGCATATATTAGAAGCAACTGTAGCATTTACATGTTTCATTTTACAAATGATTTATATTATGATACATGGAACACCGGTGATGGCTATGAATAGATATGTGGATATGAAACAGGAAGAAAATTCTTTTTTGACACTTTGGGCAACAACAAAAACGTGCAATATGTTATTTATCTATCGTTTAATTCGTTTTTTACCAGCATCAAAAAATATTCGAATTATTGTTGGAACAGTTATTGATGAAATTCGAAATGGTGGAGCATTTTTTGGTGTTTTATTTGTTAGTTAAATTATTTTTATTCATTATATTATTCTAAACAAAATATTCTAGAGTTGTTATTATGCATATTCAATACTTGGTATGGAATTATTTGGTGGTGCTGTTGATGAACTCTACAGACGATATAATCAGTCAAATCAAACGTAACTATACTTAAGAGCTTTTCATTTTTATATTCGATGCGTTATATTTATAGAATTTGTGGTACTTATGAACAATTAGAGTATTGGCCAAATGGATTTAATGATTTTTATGTAAGTTTAAATAGTTAATTATATGATGTTATTCAATGTATTTATTTTGTAGTCATCCATGGTTACATTGTATCATATAATGATTGTAAATCAATGGTATGTCTTTGTTAATGGATTTCGTAATGCAACAGATTCAATGTAAGAAAAAACAATTTTTATTACTTCGATTTCTATCTTTATTATTATTCAATAGATGGAGTGAATTATATTTTATATTTTGGTATTTATTTGTAACAAATATTGGATTGAATATTTGTCTTGCATTAAGTGGTGATGTGAGTATTTCATTCTTGTTTAAACTTATTTTTAATGATAATATTGATTTCACCTTAGATTCATGATGCTAAAAAGAAACGAGCTGATCAACATGAAGAATTAATTGTATCGAATATGTATGATATTTATAGGTAGATAATTAAAATTAAGAAAATATTTAATTTTATAATTATTAAATTAGATCTGATATAAAAGAGCCAACATCTACAGAAATTATTCAACGATTACATCAACATCCATATATTAATTTTCGAGAAATTTCATCTGAAAGGAGAATAATCTCAACTTGAGAATTCATATCTTTTATCTTTCATTTTACGCAATTAATTATTTTCTGATTTTGTTGTTCTGATCTTTATTTTCTAGATGGCACAAAATCTTCTTCGTCCATTAACCTCTTTTCGAGGTATTAATTCATTAGCTGGATCAATGCGTGCATATTCAGTTATGTATACTGCACATTGTACAGCAACTGGCGGTCGTGATGGTCGCGCTAAATGTGATGATGATCCAGCACATTTAGATGTAAAATTAGTTAGACCAAAAGAAATGGGTGGTACTGGTGGTGATGGAACTAATCCTGAAGAATTATTTGCTGCTGGTTATAGTGGTTGCTTTTTAGGTGCAATGGGTTTAGCAGCAAAAAATCTTCATAAAACATTACCTAAAACAACAACTGTTACTGCATCCGTTAGTATTGGTAAACATGGCAATGGTAATTTAGGTTTAAAAGTTGATTTAACTGCTAAATTACCAGGAGCTACACAAGCTGATGCTGATGCGATTGTTAAAGCAGCACATCAAATTTGTCCTTACTCTCGTAAGTTATTTTCTCTAAATAAAAATAGTCAACTATATATATCTGTACGTTTTAGATGCAACACGTAATAATGTTGATGTTAAACTCAAGGCTACAACATAAATATTAAAATATCTAACAAACCTCTAATCTCGCATAATAGATCATAGTCTTTCAACCTTTTTTTTATTATTTAAATAAACAAATAGATAGATAGATATATACATATAGAAAAGCAAAAAAGCAATCACAATTTATCTTCTAATGATAAACGGTTTTAGTAATCCAATCTGTATAATAAGATATTTTTGTATATACACCAAGACCAGCACAACTAAAACCCCAAGATATTAAACCAACTAAATGCCAATGACCATTACGTAATATAACCATTGGACCACCAGAATCACCCTATAAAATAAGCATTTGTCAAAACATTTTATTTAATTTTAAAACAAACTTGACATGCGTCACATGTTGAATTTTTACATAAACCAGCACAAAGAGTTGTTGACCAACTTGTATTTTGTAATCCACATTCATCATAGGATTGAATAGGTACTTCAACTTCACGTAAATATCGAAAATTTCCTGTACCTTGTGTTTCTCCCCATCCAGTAACAAGTGTTCGATCACCATGTCGAACAAAATCTTGAATTGATGATATACAAATAGATCGAATATAAGGACTAAATATAAGTGATTCAGATAATTGAAGTAATGCAATATCATGTATCCATCGAGTAGATTTTCCATTATATGAAGGATACTATTTAAAAAAAAAGCAGCAAATATTATTTGTATAAATTCTATATTCAATACGTACAATAACAATTCGTTTAATCATTCTTGTAATACGTGAAGGTTCTACCGTATATCGATCATGTATACCAAATTCTGCTAATAAATATTTTGGATCGGTTCTATATGAAATAAAGAAAATATGTCTCTTGAAAGCAAATATATACAGATATACCCATTAACACAATGTGCAGCAGTTACAATCCAATTCGAATTTAATACAGTTGCTAAATAATAGAATAAATCAATTGAAAAACTTATTATAAAATCTAACCTCCACAAAATTTGCCATAATTATAGAGAAGTACTTGCCATGGATGACTATGTGGTATAACTTGACGACCACCAACAATACGACTAGAAACTCTACGAGAATATTTATAACCATTTATTGAAGTTAATCCACATTCTATGTAATAGAATCAAGTTTTAAATAGAAATATTTATTTATTTAATATACCAGCATATTTTTCTGTTAATAAAAATGATGGATTACTTAAATACGATGGTGTACTTAATGCTTCTAAAAATATAAACAACAATTGAATAGATAAGAAGAAAAAACACTTGCGTTCTATTGGAATAAGTTCGTAGTGCATAAGAAAATTTGTATCTAGTTTTATATCATTAATACGTAGTTCAACCATTAATGTTTGTCCAACTCCACCTATCCGAACATGACGACGATCACCACATAATTCAACTTTTTCATTTTCTAATCCTGGTGTCCATAAATTCACAGAAGCACGACGACAACCTCCTGTTAAATATTCTTCAATAGGAATAGGAATTAATATATAATCGAATTTGACAACAATACGCTATATAATTAAAGAAGTTTTTTTTTTATATTAAAATGAAAATGACAAATAGAAATTATATAACCTGATGTGCTGAACCAACTACTAACCATTGACAATGAATAGTTGATTCGATAGGTGTTAATGTAGTTTTATTAACAAAAAGAATACCAGTATCATTCATAAAACTACGTAATAATGGACAATCAGATATGACAGTATTTACTAGTATGATTATGATTAATGCTAAGCTTTTGCCTAAATATCCGGAAAAATAATATATATATGTATACATATAAAACTTTTATAGTCAATGTTTTTACCACAAGGCAATCGAACAATCATTTTTTTGTCGATAATCAAGATTTATTCGTTTTGTTTTTGTTCTTATTATCATTTTTTTAGCTTGAAGCAACAGTGAATAGTCAATTTTTTTTCTCTTTTTTTTTTCTTTCAATGATAAAAAGTATCTTTAGCTTAACCTTAAAAAAAAGGCGAAGAATAAATGTAATCGATGTATATAAAAGAAGGTCTCGTCGTTGTTTGAAATATGCTAGTACTACAATTTCGTATTTTGAAAACCTTGATTTAAGTAAATAAGATTTTTTGTTTTTATTTATTATCGATTATTGATATTATTTCATATAGACTAGACATATTAATACAAAAAAAAACATCACGACATAATTTCAATTTTACCGACAAGAACAAGTTTATTATGGATTCTTTTTGTTGATAATAATTGTGCAAAGTGTTACTGTCTATTTTGCATGATTTCATTTCAACACTTAACTTTATCTGGCTTCTGTCTCTCGTCCTTTATTTATTTGAATATAAACACATTAGATTTGAAAATAAAAATATTTATGCAAATAATCACATCATTACGAAGAGGTCAGTCCTATCATTTATTACCCATCCTTGAATTATGTATGTTTCATTATTTCGACTATATACATACATACATACATACATACATATATATTCGGTTGACTAATATAGAAAAAAAAGCCAACGTTGTCATGATCATGTAGATACAAAAGTATGAAGAGAAACTGAAATTGCATTTACTTCGTCAAATGTCACGTTCTGATAAGCGGTGAATAGTAACACGTTTTATATGTAGGATGAATGATGAAAATAAGAGTAGGAGTGTGTAATAATAATATTAACAACATCAAATTCCTCAGTATCTACATATCAGCAATGCGATAGTGCCGAATATGGTCATACATACATACATACATATATATATATATAAATATACATGTATAAAATATGACTTTGTATGTAACTTTTTTTTCTTCTTCTTCTTCTTCTCTTCACTCGTGTTGCCTTCTATTCTCGTTGTGAGTACATATATTATGATTACGCATGTGTGCGTCAACAAAGTTAGTAAGTTGCTTCATATGTGCTCAATTTGCTTGCTTGTAGGCTCTTTTTTTCCTCCTTTGACTTTTTCGTCAATTGTACAGTAGTAAAAAAAAGAACGTACAAAAGATGATTGTTCAGCACCATTGGCCGGTCACTGATTCACGCCGGCGTCTCTTTTTTTCTCTTTATTGTCGATGATAAAAAAAGCTAATCTATATATGTGCTGTTGCAACCTCTTTGCCTCTTGTGTGGTAATAATGGTAGTGGTGTGTACGAGAGAAAAAGAGAGTAACATAAAGAAGAAAAGAAGAACGAACGGAAGGACAACGACCAAAACAAACCCGTTATCGGTGTGCATATGGTTGAGAGTAAGTTGCTTGCCTGCCCCCATCGCTTTTATCGACACAACAATGATTATGAGTAGATCGTTAGGTTCATGCTTTTTTTTTCCTCTTTTCTCTCTATCCGTTGAGACAGCGATGATGGATGAGTGATGATGATGATGATTCCAAGTCAAACACAATTTGACTCTTCTCCTTTGCCGTTGCTCTTCTCTTATATCCATATAGACTATGTATATTTGTAAAGAATTCAATGAATTATTCGTAAGCTGATTGACTTTTTTTATTAGAATTTTTTTTATATTCTTAAACTCTTCATATTAAACATTATGCAATCAAGAAGAAATTCATTTTAGAAATAAAAATCGTTTTTTTTTGCTTCTGTCGAATATAAACAAAAAAAAAGTTTTCTTACATAAAAATTTGGTATGTATATTATTAACATAATTTCTATCTAATAAAATTTCATTAATAAATAAAATAATTCCATATTCTTGAAATTTACATTTTTTCGTCATTTTCTAAATAACTTCTGCACTCTAGTGATGTCGCTAATACTTCAATAAATCCATTGGCTAGTTTTATTTGTTTATTTTTCTAAAAAATAAAATTTCCTTCGTCTTCTTTATATTATATTCTTCTCTAGATGCATAATAAATAGATTGGATATTATTATTTTTTTGCTATTAATATTAACAAAAATAAGATAAGAAAGATTGAAATAACCATGTCAAGTTTTCTTCCATCATCATCACAAGCTAATGCAGCTAATGGTATGAACACATTACAACGTTCAACAGTGAACAATGCTGCAGCTGATGCATTACGAAAAAAAATGCAACAATTACGTGATGAACTTGAACAAGTTAAAGATGATTTAGAACGTGCACGTAAAGAATTAGAAAAAGAACGAAATGGTCGTGAAACTGTAAGTAAAAACTTTTTCTATACAAAATTCGTTTGTGTAATTTTCAAAGATTTTAGGCTGAATCAGAAGTTAGTCAATTAACACGAAAACTTCATTCATTCGAAGAACAACTTGAACGTACAGAAGAACGTTTAGTACAAACAACAAATAAACTTGATGAAGCATCGCATACAGCTGATGAACGAGAAAGGTTTTTATTAAAGTTATACGTATATAAAATCTTCTTATCTTTCTTCGTTTTATAGATCAAGAAAAATGCTTGAGAATCAATTGAATCTTGGCAGTGATCGTACAGAAATTCTTGAAGTACAATTGAAAGAAGCACGTACACTTGCAGCAGAATCTGATAAAAAATATGATGAAGTAGCTCGAAAACTTTTAATACAAGAAAATGAACTTGAAAAAGCAGAAGAACGTGCAAAACGATCTGAAACGTAATTAAAAACTGAAATTATTTTTCTTAAAATTTTTGTTTTTGTTTTTCATTCTAGAAAATGTTCTGAATTAGAACAAGAAATGAAAAATCTTCATCATCAATTAAAATCATTTTTGGCTCGTATTGATGATGTAATTAAATATGAAAAATTTCTTTTATTTAAATAATTTTTCTATCAATGAATAGGCACAAAATAAAGAACAATCATTTGAAGACCAAATTCGTCGTCTTAGTCAACATTTAAAAGATGTAAGTCTAGAATATTTTTGAAGAGAGTTTTCGTTTTTGGAAGAAATCAAATTAGGCTGAACGACGATCAGATCTTGTTTTCACTGAACGATATGATTTACAAAAAGTAGTAGAATATCTTGCAGGTAGATTAAATGAGATATGAATTTTTCTTTCTTTTGTTGTGTATTTGTTTTGTTTCCACCTGCATGATTTTGAATGATGTGTTTGCATGTCTAGGCTGAAACTCGCGCCGAATATTCTACCAAACAAGTACAACGACTACAGCGTGAAGTGGATACACTTGAAGGTTTGTAATGAGAAATAAAAAGAGACGAAATTACACGGCTTGATATGCGGCGCATGTTTAGAACAATTAGTATTGATATGCTTTTGAATGTTACATTTTCTCAATGATTTATTTCTAATTGATTTCGAAGTTGAAGACTTATAAATAAAATAATATCAAGTGTTTATTTCGATAGAAGAAGAATAATAGAATTGAATTTGGGATTATTTTTCAATGAGTAAAAAAAATTATCAGAAATCACTGAGAAGATATTTTGCAAAAATACTTTTCTTATTTATTTATTTATCTATCTGATCTTTCTTTTTGTAGAAGAATTACAAACAGAACGTGATCGTTGTAAAAATCTTCAAAATGAAATGGAACGTTGTTTCTCGGATTTACAATTACTTTAAAACAACATACCGATAGACATATGATATCATCATCGATTACTACTTCCTCGTCTGTCATACATTCATTCATTCGCTAAAAAACCTTTTTTTTCTTCTTGCATTATTATTAGCACACAATCTCAGTTTGCCTAATTGTCAATACATCATCATCTGTACGTGTGTGTGTTTTATTGCGCTTCTTTTTTTCTTTCTCAGTCTTTTTTTTTCTTTTTGTTCAAAATAAAGTAATCACATTACTATCTTGTACTTGTCTTCTCTCAGATAATTTCTCTGTAGTGTTATTTTAGTTTCATCCATTCAGATCAAAAAATCAGAATGAGAAATTTTTCTTACTATCATCTTTTTTCTTCTTCTTCTTCTTTTTTTTCTTTCTTTTGTCTTGTGTTCGTAACAGTAAATATTAAAAAAATACGTTTCTTCGCTACGAAAAAAAAGGAAATAATCTGATTATTAAAATACTTGTCTGTATGAATATAGATATATATTATATATATTCACATTCTTCAGATGTTTATACAATCGTGGGAAGAATTTGCTAGACAAGCTGAACGACTTTATCTCAATGATCCAATGAGCTGTCGTCTTTGTTTGAAATATCGAAATGAAAGACTTATCTTACGTTTAACGGATAATCGTACATGTCTGCAATATAAAACAAAATATGCTCAAGATGTGAAAAAAGCTGAAAAATTTATGTCAAGTCTTTTACGTCATATGGCATCAAAAGAAGCATAAAAAAAATTATTTTTATTGTTTTATTTTATTGTTATTTCAGAACAAAAACAAAATAAACATTCGAGAGAGTGAGAGAAAAACAAAAAAAAGAGTCTAATGAATATGATGTAAAGTTGAAAAAGAAAGAACTATATCATAAAACTTGACTTGTATTATTCAAGTATTCATAGAAAACATGAAAGAGAAATTTAGCTCTTTAATTTTTATGATGTGTGTTATTATCAATTGGCACCTTTTTACATGGATATTTAGCTTTTTTGTTTTGTTTTAATATGAGAATACACATATAGAAACAAGACAAAAAATGATTGAGACAAGATATTGATAAGATTTATTTCTTTTTCTTTCATCGGATTGAAACGATAAAAGTTTTATTGATTATTACATGAGAAGAGTGAACATGGTAATTAACAAACTATTGACTAATGATTCATAGAGACGAGAATTTTCATCATAAATGACATGATGATATGATCAAAAAATACCGACATTTAAGCCGTTATTTTCAAATTAGATGACTCGAAAATCTTCTTTCCATATATAAGATAATTAAATTTTATTTATGATAATTGAAAAACAAGAAACACATGACAAAAAAAAAAACGAGAAAATCAATATTTTGTACAATATCCATTGAGTTAAAGAAGACAGAAAAAGAAAAACAAACAAAAATCATTGTTCGACTAGAATATACGATAAGAATGAAGAATTTATCTTTTTTTTATGTATTTGTTGTTGATTCATTCACTGCATTTGGTAAAAATGAAGCTAAACCCATTGCTGGTAAAGCAAAATTTATTTTAGATTTTAAAGGTGAATGTTGTTGTTGATGATGATGATGATGATTTTGTTTGGGTGATGAACTAGATGATGTTGGCGAGGATGCAGATGAACATGATGTTACTGTATCTGTTGATCCATTAAGTAGTTGAGATGTTGAAATGGATCGATTTTTTGTAGTAGTCGTTAATCGAACAGAATTACTTGCTAAAGGATTCATTGGTGGCATTATTGGATTGATACCTGATTGGTTTGGAGGATGTGGATAGCCAGAGGCAGCTACAGCATACATATAAGAAAAATAGGAGAAGGCATCACCAGGATAACCTGGCCAAGCAAATGCTAATTTTTGTCTTTTATCTTTCATTCGTCGATTTTGAAACCAAACCTAGAAGAAAATTGAATTAATTAAAAAAAGAAATAATCTAAATTTTACTTTAATAGTTGATTCAGGTAATTGTAATTCAGCTGCTAATTCACAACGTCTTGGTCGACTAACATAATTTTCTCGAAGAAATTCTTTTTCAAGTCTTGCTAATTGTTCACGTGAAAAAGCTGTTCGATATCGACGAATATTATCATCATTAGAATTGTTATTATTATTCATATGATTTATTAAATTACCATTTGCATGTGTTGAATCGTCTATGAGGAAAAAAAGACATATTGATTTATTTTATTTGAAATTTTCTTTTACCATTATCATCGGAAAAACTTTCATCTGAAAGTCTTCTTGAATTACTTCCTAATAGATATGTAGATGAATTATTACTACCTAACATCATTGTTATATGGCTTCAAATGAAATATTCGATTATCAATAACGGATAATTTCTCTCTTTCTATTTCTTTTTTCTCATCTTCATTATCATGTTCGTTCTCCTGACGATTATTCGTTCTTTTATATTTAATAATTGTATGAGATAGAGAGAGAGAAAAGAAGAGGAAGAATATTCTATTGGTTGATTGAAGCGAGAAAAAGAATATCATTAAAAACAATGACTGGTCAACGATTCGTTTTTAAATGATCAAGTTGATGAAGAGAGAAGAGAAAGAAAGCAAATAATTGCTAATATCATTAAATATAGAATGAACGTGAGGTGTGAACAATGAGAAGCATAATTAACAGTTTATTTTCTTCATGAAAATCGGTCTAATGTAAACAGATATTGTCTCGTCAAACGGATAAGACTTTGCATGAACAATTGAGATGAGACATATTACAAATAAAAATAAACTAATATATACAAAGTCGAATATGAATGTCTCTTCTTTTTTTTTCTTTCTAAATATCGGATGCGACTAATTGGCTGAACAATAATAACTCCGCCCTTTTTTGACAAACGTTTGCCTTCTTTCACCAAAAAACAAGAAAAATAGGAGCATTAATATCGAATACACGCGATAGTTAAATGCGTCCATTTTACATTTTTAAGGGTCAATAAACATTCATTTTCTATTGCCGCTAGCAACAATATGGGATGTCGTTAATCAATGATAGATAATCACATGTTTTCACCTGATCTCCGCCTTATGATCGATTAAAACAAATCGTTTTTTTTCAAAACAAAAAAAACAACAACAAAATATAATTTCTTTTCCTTTTAATCTTATTAAAAGTATTTTTTGTTGATTAAATGCACAGGTGTCTGTTATTCAGATTGATTTCATATGCCATTTATTATTAGATTACTATATATATATATACTATGAAAAGATCAAAGTAGATGACTTCTCTTTACCTATATTTATACGCATCGAGGCAAAGACTTTAGGGAACACACGACTCGATTTTTTATTCATTTACTTTTTTTTTGTGCTCGTGACAGACGAACGCGTAGGTTGGTATCTTTATTTTCTCGACACTTGACTATCATGCAAAGAAACGATTCACACACACTAATATGATGGCATTTATAATTGATCTATAAAGGTCAACATTAAATGAATTTTTTATTTTCATAACTAATAAAAGAGAATATTATTAAGTTTCGATCATTTTCGATGATCGAATAAAACATAAAATAAAATAAAAACGTTTTATGTATGAGTGACTTCAATCATTTTTATCACATATGTGTAACTGTTATAAAAAATAAACGCAGCAGTAGCATCAATTCACTTTCACATGTCAATGTTTGCTTATTTTGTTTCTTTTTCTCTCTTTTTTTTTATATTCACATCTTCTACTATACCGCTAACGATCCAATCGATCATTGAGAAACAAATTTAACACGAAAGAAGCCGATCAAAAGAGACAAAAAAGATTCAATTGAATGATAAAAATTTTCTCGTAAATTGATCATTATTACACTAAAGAGTAATATAAATCTTATATTTCTATTTCTAAGACATAACTATGAAAAAGGTCAAGTAAAAGAAACTTACGTTGATCAATACTATTAGTATCGTATGTAAAAGACATTTCATCACAATTCTGATGATTTTGCTTGTGAATACCCATAATGCTTATAGACCGAAGAAAGATGATGACTTTATGATTTAAATTGTATGGATATGTTCGATGATTTTTATGATGGAATAAAATTTCTTTCTCTCTCTCTTTCTTTACTTTTCGATTCGCTCTTTAGACTAAATTCAACACCAATCATTAGGTGCGATGAATTTATATATCATAGCAATAACCATTTTTCGCACGATTGAATATTTCGAACAAAAAAAGAAATTAGTTTTTTGTTTTATGTGATTTAATACAGAGAAGAAAATATTCGTGATGTCATTTGTGCAAATTAATTGAAATAAACGTTTTATATTTCATGTTCTTTCTGCGTCATTTCATATCCGTTTGAAATGGTAATTTTCTTTTTGTATGTCCGTTTATTTTTTTACAACTTTCTTTTTATTTATAATATACGCATCAAACTCTCAAGAGTCATCATACAAATGAAAACAATAATAACAAGTAAAGAAAGAAGAGAGAGATAGAAAGAGAGAAAATGTTTCTATGATTAACACGTTTAGTCAAGAGTCGTTACACATTTCAATCAAAGGATTCACACACGCAAATGACATGTGTTATGTTGTTATTGCTCGATTGCATCTTACAAAACGAGATCAAACAGAAAATATATTGGTGACACAGTCCTTGAATATATACATATTCGCTTGATATAATCAATTTTATATTGAAAAGTCAAATTCTATATTATTGGCCTAGATTCTTGTTAAGTATACAAATAAAAATAAGTCAGCATATAATTGAAAATGATCCGTTAAATTGAATCTATTAATATATTGAATAGATTGTGTAGTTATTTCCGCTGTTTTTTTTCTCTTGTTCAAACGATGATACAGATCATAAATCATGTTGTTCATCTTCATTAGATACACCCAGTAAAATTAATTTTTACTTGTGTATATCGTTTTTTTTCTTCTTGTTCTTTGAACATATCAGATAAGGATGAGAAAGGCGGCGTCATCGATAGATTTGTCTTTCTCATATTTCGCTTACCTGCAAATTAGTTTATTTTAAAAGAGCTATGCATTACAGCGTTGCATGTATGAATAGATAAAGATACTATCCATGTTCATTTGATTTGACTTTCATCTAAAACAAAAATAGGATACATGACTTTATTCTATCTACTCATCAAATTAATTCATATATGAACTCATCTAGAACAATATTTGCTGTAATTTCATAAGGTTTGAAATTATTACAGCGAAATTTAACGTATGGTATATGGATTGCGATATTTAATATTTTGCAAATGTCTCAAGAAAAATAAATTGTATAATCTTGATTCTTTTTTAAAAAATGTGCAAGAAAAACTCTATAACAACTGTAAAGATGAATCTCATATTCCAAATGAATAAGTTATATGATAATGCTATATCTTGCTGTATTATAGTTATTATAAAATGAAATTTTAACCAGTAACCATGCTTAACATATACATTAAACTTAATTTATACAAAATAAACAATTTGAGAGATCTATTCTTGAGTGTCTCAGAGCTTTTTGTGAGAACACTGTTTCACTCATACATATCTTTCCCATCTACGCAAGATAACAAAAAACAACTTTTATAAATAAATACTTACTGAACATATTTCTGTCGAGCTGTATCTAAACAAAAGAAAAGAAACTTTTTATAGATATTCATTGATTATCTTGTTGTTGACATTGATTTAAGTCAAAGCAAACAAATAATTTTTGAATAAGTAAATACCTACCACATATTTCCGTGTCGACACATGTTCAACTAAAAGAAAATAGATACAAATAACTTCAATATTTTTAGTAATTAAATCTGATTGTATCAAACATTTGATTGACTGAATTTGACCGGCCGTTTGAGTTTGAATCATCAATCGACTTCGATTAATTGATGATTTTACTTAATACCACCGTTTACTGGCGGCTTTGAGAAAAAAAGATAATATGGGAAGACGTTATAATTTATTTTTAGTGAGATGTTTGTAAAATAATAAATGTTGCAATCATTATAACTCACGTAGTATAAATATAGAGTACATTTGAAAACAGTATTGACTAGAGTGTGAGTATGGTTACGAGTAGAGCAAAACATATCCACCCACACCCATACCACGAACTCGTTTTTGATCTCTAGTTGAAAAATCAATTTAAATCACAGATATCCATCGTGGTTGATAACTCGCCGCTCCTATATTGTAAAGAATATTAGATAATTCATCTGACATTCACGACTTTGATTATGTTTGAATAGAACTATTGCTACTATTTGATAAGATCTGGCTATTTTCAGAGTGTTGATCATGCATATATTGAATTTAGAGTTAAATTCATGCATCTTTTTGCTGCTCTTCAGAAAAATACATTGTATCGCGATCAACAATTCCACTTTTTATATATCTGATAAATTTTTATTCTAAAATAGATCAAAATACTCAAAGAAGGAATTTTCTTTCAAAAATACTTATTTCATCGAGAACCAAAAAACGTTATTAAAAATCAGTCCTGACAAAGCAAATTATTTGACAGGTTCAAATAAAAATATATCAAACTAATCATGATTTATTCATTGACGTCAAACATTTATTGGCGATCATTTTTAATATCGTATTTTCATTAAAAACATGTCTGATGATTGACATCAATATCAATCTATTCTTCTTTCTCTTCATCAAGTTCTTCTTCAATAAAATCATAGATTTTTCTATAAAACTAATAAAAGAAAAGGATCATGTCGAATTTAAATTTCATTTCATGCTTTCGAAAATAATGAAGTTCAATGAGATATAACAAATTAAATCATCAATTTTCTTCATTAATCAACTCCGAAATCAATTTTTTATCTTACCGGCTATAAAACCTTCTCTAAAACACTATTTTTTCTCTTTGTGATAGGTGGGAAGAAACAAATGAGAGAAAAAGAGAGATATGTAACTAGAGAGAAAATCTACAACGAGTGTCATTTTGTTCTCATCGAAGACAAAGAAGAAGAAGACTATTTTGTTAGTTCACTGATTTATCAAAAAACTCTTGTTGAATGATGTGGAATATCTATGTATTTATCATTATTCTTTTGTTCATTCTCAACAATGAAACTTCAGGTAAATATTTTTATTTATCATATACTTAAGATCAGCTATTGCACAAAAATGACATTATTCGTTAGAGTTTTATCTGAACAAAAGGGAGTGAAATAATAGATAATAGAATTTGACATGAATTTCTGTTATATATTGAAAAGTGATGATATTGATCTCTCTCAGCGGCTATGCGAGACTTCTTGTGGCTTGAAGAATGAGCGTACTTCAAGTTTAAAAGCATATGTTGGAATACTAGTTGATAGTACTGTGGATATCCGAATTTGTATCGATGCATAGTTTCAGAACGATTGAAAAGTTGAACATTAATGAAATCTTCTCTCGATATCGAATTTATTTGTAGATCTTGACCCGAGAGTCGGACACAAGAGAAAGGAAAAAAGTCTCGTTCATCATATATCATTATAACATATGAAAAAAAGGATGGATTGACTTTTCCAGATGAAATCAAAATCTAAATGGAAAGGTTAGCAGGTGAATATAAATGAAAACAAAGTTTTGTAAAATTATTTGATTATTTTGGTTTGAGATAAGATGTACATCCATTTATTCCATACAGATCACCATCTTCATTATATAAAAAATACTATGACTAATTAAATAATGATATAGTGTTTGATGAACTCAAAGAGTTTTATATATAAAAATAGAAGTGAGAAGTTTGAAGTCAGTTGATCATTCACGTCTATATATACTATTTACTCTTATAGAAGATGAAAAGGGTTTGAAACTTTTGAACTACACAAAAGGAAAGTATCTTTCTTTGGAATATATGAAATTATTTCATAGAAATGAATACATGCGCGAGAAAAAAAGAAAGAGCTCAAATCATATGATGATGTAGAACTGCTTTGCTAGTGCAAATTCATGATTAACACTATCATTTTTATCACTAGACTATGATAAAAGAATATTGTTGTTAAGTAAGACAAGATTTGAATCAAAGGTCAAATACAAAAATAGTTTTCTCATCTTTAAAAGGAATCGATAAATATTAAGATTTTTTTCAAAATATTCAAGTTGGAAAAATAAAAGACAGAAATAAAATTAAAGGGAATTTGTCTTGTTTAATTTGATGAGAATTATAAGAAAAACAGATAATATTATTCACAATAAAAAAAAAGAATATTTTCATTTTATTTTTATCTCAAAATATTTTTCTTAAAATAATTTCTTCGAATGGCTATTTAATTAAAGATTGGCAAGAGAATTTTTCTCCTTCCTTTCACCTATTCGATTCAATTGAAATGATTTAACATCAATAAATTTATAATGTTTTTCATATGAAAATTAGAATTGATTTTGAGTTTTAAAGGCATTTGTTTAGATCTCAATTAATTTAAAAAATGTCATTTTCATTTTAGACAATTCTTTTTTCCTCGTTCGAATTCATTTTCGTTGAACAAAAAATAAACGTTATTTGATAATTTTCTTGTCTTCACTGATAATTATATCTTTTCAAGGATCGAACAGAATTATTTTTCTTTTACAATAAAAAAATCAATAAATAAAGTTGATCTTCCTCGATAAATTCATGTTCTTCTCAGTTGATATTTACAAATTATCTGAAAAAATAGAACAACAATCATGAGAATCTTTTGAAAAATAATCTCAATGAATTTTTGCAAAAAAAAAACAAATTAACAATTTCATTTCACTTGCAGTTCTTCTCTAATATTCTTTATATTTTTCTAGTTTTAGCTCTTTCATTCAATCAACTAAAGTTTTCGCCAACAACCACTTGGAATTCTAATGGAATTACTTTTGCTAATCAATCGATTGCTGGTAATAATCCTATCGGCATTTTTGTAAGCACAAACAACACAATCTATGTTGCTCATCGAGAAAATAACACAATTGCAATATGGCAAGAAGAGAATGTGAATCCAACAAACATCATTTTCGGTAATTTTACAACACCCAATTCGCTTTTTGTGACATCAAATGATGATATTTATATTGATGATGGTGCTGAGAATGGTCGAGTGCAGAAATGGGTAGCAAAAACAAATAACTTTGTCGTAGTGATGAGTGTCAACTCATCGTGCTGGGGTTTGTTTATCGATATCCATGATATTCTTTACTGTTCAATGCCTAATCACCAACAAGTAGTGAAAAGATCATTAAATGATCCTGCAATGACTTCAAATCGTATTGCTGCTGGAACAGGTATTGAAGGATCCGCCTCGAATCAACTTGAAAGTCCTCGTGGAATCTTTGTCGATGTGAACTTGGATTTATATGTAGCAGATTATACAAATGATCGAGTTCAGTTGTTCCAGTCAGGAGAATTAAATGGTATTACAGTAGCTGGATATACATCACTAAGTCCAACAGTTACACTTCTTCGTCCAAGTGGAATTATATTAGATGCTGAGAAATATTTATTCATTGTGGATCAGAATAATCATCGAATTGTTGGTTCAAGCTTGAATGGTTTTCGTTGTTTAGTTGGATGTTATGGAAGAGGTCCCCATTCCAACCAATTGTTTTTGCCAGCTAGTTTTAGTTTCGATCGCTCTGGAAACATATTTGTTACTGACCAAGTAAATCATCGAGTTCAAAAATTTTTACTGATGAAAGATTCTTTTGGTAAGTTGAAGAAAAGTTGAATGAAATGGAGAGATGTGAATAGATAAGTAGCGGAAGTTAATAAAGACATTTCAATATTAAAAAAACGAAAGAAAACAAAAATAGTTGAGAAAGATTAATTAAAACGATGTGTAAAAGAATATATGTAAGGAAATTAAATGTTTAGATTAGACAGAGCTATGTGTCAATCGTGTAAGGCAAACAATCTTCGCCTTTTTGTTCAGATTAAGGAATAGAAACAAAGAGAGTTCTGTCCTCAATGGAGTGGTAGAATGGGCTTTCATGTTTCATTCCATTTGTCTCAAAAAATATCTCATAAATGAAACAGTTTTTATCGAAATAAAATCTTTTCATACCTTTGCCTATATAGTTTTAATATAAACTATTCTATGGTTTGACTCATATTTCATATTTCGATATGTTTGTTTCGAGAAAAATAGGGCAAATAGAATATCACAATTCTGACAGCGAATTTTGTTTCTTTTTTTTTGTGCAAAATGAATTTAGTCCTTGTTTATCTTTGAAAGAGATAAATGTCAATATGAAATATTATAAAAATGAATTTAGTCATAAAGAAATGTTTGATTGACGATTTGTTCTTTGGATAGTTATCGCGATATTTAATTGCAGAGAGTAGTATTGAATGATTGAAGGCAATCTATAATGTAATATATGTAATTGTTAATGAAATATATATATATATATAAGTTATTATTTCTATAATATAAATAAAGAATGTTTTCTATTATAAATAAAATCTCTTGACCTGATTTTGAATGAAAACATTTATTTATTTAAAATGATGAATAAGAAAAATTGATTTTTAATCAAATGTTTTCCAGATCCTTATTAAATGAAAATTTAGCATAAGTCAATTAACAAAGTTTTATTTACATTTCTAAACATCAATCAGAAAAAGTTTCTCGATTAATAAAAGATTTGTTAGTTTTACAAATATTTATTTGACTTTTTCTTGAAGATGTTTAGCTAATGATTGGTTTCGTTTTAAGTGAATTATTTATTCTTTTCACATCAAAATTAAGATTTTCTTGTTTTATTCTTTATTGTATAGGGAAAACATTGAAATCTGTAAACTACTATTAAGATTGCAAAGAAAGATTTGTTTTATTTGTATTGAATAAACAGGAAATATTGTGACGTTTAATGAATCTTTGGAATTTCTTGAGATAAAAAAATCTTCGAGCGACAATTTATATGAAGAATATCTATAGAAAGAAAACATAGGAAGACTTATCGTTTCCTTTTCATTTCTTCTCTAAATTAACTTTAAATGTTTATGAAGAAAAAACTTTGAGAAACTTTGAATAATTGTTTGAATATTGAAATTTGTGTTTGAATAAATATTTCAAAAAAAAGATCTGCAATGGCATATCTGCAGAATTCTTTTTAAAAAGATCAGCTTGATAATTAAAATTTACTGGAGAAAGGCGAATAGGATGTTCAATATTGAAAGAAATAGACTAAATTTATGAAAGTCTCTTCTATTATATTGATTTTTTGTCTTCAAATAGATAAATTCTTGTATTTCATTGTTTTCTTTAATACAATTTATTCAGATCTTTTAGAGAATTTTTTAACAAAATTTAAACAAATATATTTTAACAATATCACAATTTACATTTCATTTTTATAATTAATAAAAATCATTTCCAAAAGCAATATTAACAAACATTTTGAAATATCTTTTTCATCAACAATTTCTTTGAAGAAACTGTATTTTTCTTCTACGAATATACAGACTAACAATTTCATTTTGTTTACAGTTCTCCTCTAATATTCTTTATATTTTTCTCGTTTTAGCTCTTTCATTCAATCAATTAAAGTTTTGTCCAACAACCATTTGGAATTCTAAAGGAATTACTCTTGCTGATCGATCGATTGCTGGTGAATATCCTGGTGCCATATTTGTGAGCACTAACAACACAATCTATGTCGCTAATCAAGAAAATAAGTCAATTGTAATGTGGCAAGAAGGGAGTCTCAATCCAACACAGATCATTCCTGGTAATTTTACAAAACCCTCCTCTCTCTTTGTGACATCGAATGGTGATATTTATGTTGATGATGGTTTTGAGAATGGTCGAGTGCAGAAATGGATGATAGAAACAAGTACCTTTGTCGTAGTAATGAATGTCAACTCATCATGTTGGGGTTTGTTTGTTGATATCAACGATACTCTTTATTGTTCAATGAATAGACATCATCAAGTAGTAAAAAGATCATTAAATGATCCTGCAATGACTTCAAATCGTATTGCTGCTGGAACAGGTATTGAAGGATCCGCCTCGAATCAACTCTATAGTCCTGGTGGAATCTTTGTCGATGTGAACTTGGATTTATATGTAGCAGATTGTAGAAATAATCGAGTTCAGTTGTTCCAGTCAGGAGAATTAAATGGTATTACAGTAGCTGGAAGTAAATCAGAAAATCCAACACTTACACTTTTTGATCCGAGTGGAATTATATTAGATGCTGAGAAATATTTATTCATTGTGGATCAGTATAATCATCGAATTGTTGGTTCAGGATTGAATGGTTTTCGTTGTTTAGTTGGATGTTATGGAAGTGGTCCCCATTCCAATCAATTGTTCTATCCATTTAGTTTGAGTTTTGATCGTTCTGGAAACATGCTTGTTATTGATCAAGGAAACACTCGAATTCAAAAATTTAATTATTTAAAAAAATCTTGTTGTAAGTTGAAGTATAATCGAATGAGATGATGGGATGCACATATTGATAATGAAAAGTTGTATAGTTTTCGTTAGAAGAAACTGAGGTTCAAAACAAAAGAAAATATAGCAGATGAAGCTTTTCTGATCGAAAAAAAACTGTAAATGAGATAACTTATTAGTTTGACAATTTCAATGTAAATTAAGTAAATTCATTTGAGATATGAAATTTCAATTGACGATAGATGTTTTTGTTTTGATGATTCTCACTCTCAAGATGTGGAGATAACTATCAGATCAGAAAAGTCATCAAAGGTTTTGTTTTATTGGTTGTGAAAAATATCGTCAGTTAAATCTAACCATTTGGAAGTGACTTTCTCTGTTTTCACTGGCCAGATTTTGTTCCAAATTTTTAAGTTTCGTCCAAAAGTCAAACATTGTGCTATGCATGTTAATCAAAGATTTTGATTAAGTTCTCTTTAACACTGTTAGATCTACATAATATTTTCTCTTTTCAGAATCTCGAAAAAACAGATAATATCACAGAATGAATTCAAATGCTTTCTGATTGTGAAACAGATTTTTATCCTTCTGAGCACGACCTCCAAGTTGAGTAGGTCAGGGACATATATTTAAAGTGAACAAAAGTTTCTATTAAAAAAGAATTGCATCTCGTTGTACTTACGATAAACTTTAATTCATGTTGTTGTTTATTTAGCCAATAGTTCCTCGCTTCTTCAAAAGATTTATTCAGCATCATTGACTAAGAACAATCAAATTTATTACCGAGATTGTGACAAACGAAACTTTTATTACGAATCTATTCAATTAAAGGTGACTGAAAGTGGTTATTACACTTTTCGTAGTAGTGGTGACATCGATCCGTACGGATCTATTTACAAAAACAAATTTAATCCACTTGACCCGTCAAAGAACTTGCTTAAAACAGATGACGACAGCGGTTCTAATACTCAGTTCAAACTTGATATTCATCTTGATGTTGGCATGACATATGTATTGGTTGTGACAACATATGAATCAAAAGAAACTGAAAATTTTTCGATCGTTGTACTGGGTCCAAACAAAGTTATTCTCCAACGTCTTAGTAAGTAAATATACTTGCGCTATATATTAAATAATTCGTACAAAATATATAGCATGTCTTCTAAATTCAATTCCATCTTTTATTCTATGTCAAGAGAATGTACTAAATTTATACCATCTGATATTAACGCATTTTCTAGCATGATATCTACTCTTGTGTTTTTCTACCACTATCTTAGTAGATGGATGCTGTTCAGTTTCCACAAATACTGAATGAAAAATGCTCTAAAAAGGGTACTCAATGAGATTTTTGGCAACATTTAAGAGTCAGTTACTTATAGCCTAAAAAGTATCTTACTGTAACTCAGTACTCTAAGATTTATGTGGCATATTGATTTCAAAATACACACTCGGGAATGTGAACTTGGTACATTTACTAGTCTCTATTTGTAAAATTAAATCTTTATAGAAAATCTCAAAAGTTCTGTTTTCTGTTACTCAATAAATATTTCTCAATGAAATGTAGGAGAGAGAAAATAGTCATAGTATCAAAATTCTATGAATTATTTGACTTTTTCGTATTGAACAGGTACTCCAGTAAATATTCAATTAAGATATTCATTAAAATTAACTGAAGATAGTCCAACATATTATCGAGATTGTCAAGTACCGCAATGCCATTATGAAACTTTACAAATTCATGTTAATACAACGGGTTTGTATGTTTTTTGGAGTGAAAATAACATAAATGCATACGGATATATTTACAAAAATAATTTCAATCCTCTAAAACCATCTGAAAACTTACTTCTATCACATGATGGTGAATGTAATGATGGACAATTCAAATTAATCATCGATCTCGAGATCAACACTCGATACATATTGATTGTAACAACACGCAATCCTAAGACAATTGGGAATTTCTCTGTTTTTGTCTCTGGACCAAATAATATCAGTCTTATTTCTTTCAGTAAGTATTTATATGATTCTCTTGATAACAAATATATAACGGCATAAAACACGTGAAAAGAAGATTTCTTATATTTTTTTTACTAGAGAGCAATTGTTATTTTAGGTTTCGAAAAAAGAGCTATCGATTTATTGAATCAAATATTTTTTAGAAGCTTCGGGTCGATTGATCTGTTAGAAAAGATATTTGTTTAGTATGAGTTGTAGATAGATTCTTCATATTTTGAATATTGCTATTCACATCTTTTTAAATCTTTACGGATGTGAAGTTTTCGAGAACTCGAAATCTTGCAAAAGTAAAAGTTTCCTCCATAATTTTTTCTATTTCTCGAAATTAGTAGTGAAAGATGCAGATATTTCAATACACTGAAAAACCTTTTCATATAAGAAATAAGTAAATTGCCAAAACTGAATATTTTGATTATGAAAACAACTGAATTTTTTCATTATTCTCTTCTAAAAATTTATTCAATATTTTAGGTCCAGAACAAAGTAGTTGTGTGATCGGTGATCAATGTAACTTTTACATCAAAGGGATTGGTTTGACACTCGATGATATTTTACACGATGAACTTCAACCAAATACAGTGTTGAACAATCAGCCATTTTCGATCAAATTAAGTGCGGGATTAACAATAATTATGTTTGTCGCAGGATTAATCAATAGTATTCTTTCTTTTATCACATTCCAAAGTAAAGATTCTCAACAAGTTGGATGTGGAATGTATCTATTAGCATCATCGATTACTTCTCTTTTGGCAATTAGTATGTTCATAATCAAATTCTGGTTTGTTGTTCTTACTCATATCAATGTATCCACTAGTCTACCTGTTCTTCGTGGAGGTTGTGCATCTATTGAGTCGATCCTAAAACTTTTTCTTTACTTGGATGGTTGGCTTAATGCTTGTGTAGCAGTTGAACGAGCAGTACTTATGTTTAAAGGCGTAAACTTTGACAAGAAAAAGAGCAAATCTATAGCTCGACGAGCAATTCTTATTTTACCATTCTGTATTTTCGGTACACTTATTCACGAGTTCGTCTTTCGTCGATTGTTCGAATATGAAACAGCACCCGATACGACAGATATGAGTAAGACTAATGAAGATACAATCAAGCGATATGTCTCATGTATCACTCATTATTCTCCTTCTGTCCAAGATTACAATACAGCCGTTCTATTTTTTCATCTTGTTGGTCCATTTATTGTCAACCTTCTCTCTGCATTGTTCATCATCTTTGGAGGTGCTCAACAACGATCAACGGCACGAACTAATCAGAGTTTTAAAGAACATGTTCAAGAACAATTCAGTAAAAATAAACAATTGATCATCAGTCCAATAGTTTTACTCGTTTTATCAATACCTCGTCTCATCATTTCATTACTTCCTGGTTGTGCGAAAACATCTGAGAACTTGTGGTTGTATCTTGGGCCGTATTTCATTTCGTTTACTCCCTCAATGCTAATTTTTCTTATTTTTGTGTTTCCTTCAGAATTATATATGAAAGCGTTTAAACAATCGTTCATTCGTATTCGGAGGCGTACTCTTTCGTAATCAGTCCGTTCAGTTTCAATGACATGACTATTATAATAAACACAAAAGACATTATTTATTTGTTTGCTTCTCGTAATGAACCAATCGATGTACTGCTGCATTTGAAAATCATGTTTGAAAAAAGACATTCAATACTCACTTATAGCTCGCCATGAATGATAACGAATGGTGCAAACACAGAATGCACTATTTTAAGTTTCTATTAGTTAGAGATAATATAGACTTATGAAGAAACATTGTGCAATAACTGATTCGTTTATTAGACTACGTGGTAAAGATTAGAAGAAACTATGTCAACTTTACACAAACTATATTCTTAGCAACATTATTCACGTTTCTTCTTCTTCTCTGTCTGTCTGTTGTGTGCTTTTCGTATTGTTTTATTTTCTTTAGTAAAATCGAGTAGAAGTGCTGAGATATGCAAAAAGAAAGAATTGGGTATATTTTCTAGAAAACTTCAAATAATTCTCTCGAACTAATACTGAAGAAATATCTTGATCTTTTAAAAGATTTCATCCCATGGCATAATATATCTGCATAAAAAAGTCAATAGAAATCATTTTGAGGATGTGGGTTGGTGTGAGTTGAGTTTGTGTCAGTAAACAAAACATCCTCGTCCACACTCACATCCACCCTCAAGATTCCAGATAGTATCACTATAATATCAAATAGCATAGACAATAAGTTTTATGCCAAATGAAAGTCAATCAAGAACAGGCTTTACGAGTATAACTCGTCATTCAGAAAGTGAGAATACCGTATTAGATTTGGGCAAGTTTCGCGTGAATCGATAGCCCCATGCCATACGATTACGGAATTGACATATTTCTAACAATTTTAACATAAATATTCGAAATAAGAATATATTAAGATTGAGTCACGTGCGATCTAATTGTGTACTGATTACATTACTACTAAAGTAGTTCAATCTTTAATGCAAAAATATTAGATTCAGTATTTAGAAAATACAATTTTATCTTTTTTGCAAGTGGGTAATCTTTGAAGACAAGAAATACTCAGATATCGAAGAAAATACTGGAAGCATGCTAATATTACTGATAATTATATTTTAGAATTTTTTTTATAAATTTAAATGACATTATAACTTCGCTTATATTGCTATGTGGCGACATCTACAAATAATTTAAAGAAAAGGATCTTTTGTTGACTTCATATTAGAAAATTTTTATTTGCTAATATAATACATTTTTTTTGTTATTTATATTAATTGATAATATCACGCGACGAGAGGTATCTTTGTTCTCCACATGGCCAACAAATAGCTATATTACAGTTGTTGACCCAAAGTATATTCGTTTAGCGAATAGATAAAAAGAACATCGTAATCGGATAATAATATTTTCCTGATTAAAAAAAATTTATTTGATTTAATTTTTTCATATCAATGAATCGTCGTGGTACAAAACGCCCACGTTTTAGTGTTGGCGGTCAACCTGTATACGAAAATGAAGATTCATCAAACCATTCTGCTCTTGGTATAACTGATTATGATGATAATTCATTATCACAAACGCCTGAAGTATCAATGAATAATTTTGATCAACAAAATTTTCCGCAAAATCAATTCGTTCCTGATCGATCAAAACCTATTCAACAATCATCAATAAAATCTTCAAATGATGATAATACAAATTTAAATACATGTCTTAATTATCTTCTACGTTTACTTATACTTAAAGATAAAGAAGGTTTTTTTCAATATCCTGTTACTGATCAAGTAAGATCATGAGAGAAAGAAAACGTTTTTTTTATATATATTTTTTAATATTTTTAGCTTGCTCCTGGTTATTCTCAAATAATAACAAATCCAATGGATTTTTCTACAATGAAAAAGAAAATTAATCATGATGAATATTCAAATATTCTTGAATTTTGTTCCGATTTTGAACTCATGTGTAATAATGCCATGAAATATAATCGTCCAGAGACAATTTATTGGCAAGCAGCAAAAAGACTTTTATCCACAGGAAATAAGTCAATGACTAAAGATAAATTAATAAATCTTCGTCGAACTGTTGAATGTTTTTCTCATTTGACAGAACGTGAATTAGGTTTTCGACTTGATTCAGTAAATCATATCAATGATGAACAAATTGATACATCAACAAATACTACTACTACTACTAATAATAATAATAATGAAAATCTATCTAATCAAACAGCTTTACAACGTAAAACAAAAGTAGCCTTAAAATTACCAAGATATTATGAAAAACTACCAACATTACTTGCTGATGAAGAAGAAGATGAAGAATTATCACCGGAAGAAATTCTTTCTCAAGCACAACAAGCTGCACATTGTGCTCGTGAAAAATTAAGTTTACGTCGTCCAATATCAGCATATACATTATCTTGTCAACGAACAAATGGTACAACATCACTTCGTTTTATTAATCAAGATGATTTATCTCAACAACAACAACAATCTCAAACACGAACAATAACTATTGGAGAATTAAGTAATATAGCATCAAGTGCTGGTGGTCCATCTTCGAATGCTTATCATCCACATTCAACACCAATTGTTAATGAAAGTGAAAAACGTAATCATTTATTACCCAGATATTTTCTTGATTATGGACCATTTTCATCACATGCACCACAATATGATTCCTCATTTTCATCATTATCAAAAGATGAACTTGATCTATTAGTACATACATATGGAAGTGAATTTTCAGCACAATATGCTGTTTCATTAATTGATTATGTTAAAGATTCAGGAGATTTAGCTTTAACTTATGTTGATCGATTTTTATCGGTAGTAACAAATGGTGAACATGATAATGCTCATACAAAACGACAGAATAAACAAGGACAAGAAAATGGTAAGATATTAACATATCATCTAATTCAGATATGCATCAGTGGGTTTACCGTACTTATTTTTTAAGTTACATTACAAGGTCATATTGATAATGTCATATGTTCTTTAGACAGATAAATATCGATCCATGCATAACATGTACCTACTAATGGTAACTATGATTTAATTTATTTTAGTTTCATCAAATGGTACAACACATATCTCATCTACTGATTCAGTTAAAATGGACACACAAGTAAATTCCAATGGTAATATTCAACATAAATTAGATATGAAACTTGATGAAAATGCTAAATTACTTATTCAATTACGTCAAGCACAATATGATCGTTTATGTCAACCATCGAATAAAATTCATCAGATCATTAATTCTTCTCAACAACAACAACAATCAAATGAACCTTTGAATGAATATGATTTAGCTGAAAAGGTTCTCTGTAATCTAAGTGATATGACACATCTATCATCAAATGGACCTGAACAAGTTATATCACCTGAAACAATTCGTCATAATCTTGGTATTGTTATTCATAATGAATCATCACCAATTGATACATTGTAAAATAGTTTTATTTATTTTGTACAAACGGATAACTTTGTGTTTTTCTTTTTTTTTCTCGTCGTCGTCTTCTTCTTCTCCTTATTGTTATTATTAGTGTCCAGAAAAAAAGACAAAAAAAAACAAATATTAGGAACAATGAATGATTCCTAAATTGATGTATCTATTTTTCAGATATAAAAATGCATCGAGAAATCAAACGTGATATTCAAGATCAATTCTCTACATCACAAGATTTACGTTTTGCACCATTTCGTTCAATGAATGATTTTATTCTTGATGCAACATGGAATGTACCAAATTTTTCCGATTTTCAAAAATTAAATAATCGTCTTGTTAGTAATTTAATTTATTATCAAACAAATTATTTTGTTTTTGGTATTGCTTTATTTCTTCTAGTCGGGTAAATCTTTCATATTAGAAACTTTTGAATTTTATATATATATTTTTTTTTAGAATAAACTATCCAGTAGATTTTATATTTGGTTTAGTTGTCGTTGCGGCTTTACTAATGAGTTTTGTTTATATATCAACATCTGCTAGAGTTGGTCATAATGCTTTAGCATCGGTTCAACATTTCGTACGTACAGCTCAAGAAGATCGACCAATTCTTATTCTTGTTGGAGTACTTGGTGTTGCTTATTTCATTTTAAGTTTTATGGGAAAATTATTCATTTTCTTTTTTGGTATTGTTTTACCACTTCAAGGTTTGTTATTTTGTTACATGTATTATATATACATATGATTTCACGGTTGAATTATTTTAGCTATCATTCTTCATGCAGCATTACGTAAACGAAATTTTGCAAATAAAGTTGCTAATAAAATTGATCAAGTTAGTCTTCAATCAACACCAATGGGTATCTTCCTTAGTGCACTTGGGTTACGTAATCCATCATTATTGGAATTTAAATGAAAAACGAGAATGACAAAATTTTTTTTTATAAAATGATTATTTTGCTTTTGTCTTTCCTTATGTTGTATTAACCACCGGATTTATTTTACTCTTTTAAAATGTCTATTTTATTTCAGATTAATATTTTATTTTTCTCCATAGAAAACATCTCATCATGTCAAAGACCGAACACACACTTCGTATTGCACCAGTAAATATTTTACAAATCTTTTTCATCTATATATGTTTAATTCATTTGATTTTACATAGCTTCGCTCAATGCGTGAATTTATTGGAGGTAATGAATGGGCCAAGCCAACATTTATTCCAAGTGAATTTGGTGAACTTCAAAAACAAGTTATTGCAAATCTAATTTATTATCAAACAAACTATGGAGCTATTGCTATACCTTTTCTTTTATTAGTCGCGTAATATTCTTATATTTTCTTGTAAATCATATCTAAAATATATTTTTTTTAAATTTAGTTTCTTTTGTCCAACAGCTATTATTTTCGGTCTTCTTGTTCTTGCTGCTCTTTTAGCTGGTTTTGTTCATACACAAAAAACACGCACAGCATTAACAGTTCTTGCACATGATCGTCCTATTGTTGTACTTATACTTCTTCTTGTTGCAGCATTTGTCATAATCAGAATGTTCGGCACAGTTTTTGCTTTTCTTTTTGGTATTGCCCTCCCATTAGCATGTAAGTCTTTTTTTTTTAAATAAGAATTTATTTTTATTTGTATTTTTCATAATATTTAGTAATTGTTGGACATGCAACTGCTCGAACACAAACATTACAAAACAAAGCTGAAAATACTGTTGAAGAACTTTCATTACAATCTACTCCAATGGGTCTATTACTTCATTGGTTAGGTACAAAAACTGAAGAACAAAAATCAACACAACAACGAAAATAGATACTATTTTTGCATCTTAAAAACATCTAGTGAAACATTTGTGTTATTTGTTTTGTTTTTTTTATACGCCGATAGGATTTTTTTTCTTACTAACCGGTGCTGGGTGTCTTCAATCATGTTCTTGTCATTGTGTTCTTTTTCTCATACTCAAGCTTAACCTTTTTTTATTTTATTTCACTCCACTTTATGATCTTAGTATATACAGGATAGCGTTTTTGACATAAAAAAAACAAGAATTTTATCTCTAAAAGTTGCACAAGATTTTATTGATAAGTGCAAAACTAAATATAACATCTATTCAAATTTATTTAATTAGAACATATATAATATGCTAATTAGCGGACAACAAAAGAAAGAAATCAACCGAATAAATATCATAATAAAAGGCGGATACATTCAATAATTGTTCTTCTTTGATTCAATGGATAAAATGCTAAGATGTATTAGTTATCCGATTATCGGAATTAACATATTTTAATACTTTCAATAAAATAAATAGAGGTCGATAGTTGTCTATCGATTAAAAATTCTTTTCGGAGGTGTTTACCACGGTCCCTATGCGAATAGATATCTGTCATGTCGCAAAAGTGCTTTTATTATCGTTTATTGTACTTAAAGAAACAAACAGAAAATTGAATACCTGGCTTGTGACAAAAGAAGAAGAAGAAGAAAAAAAACTTAAAGAAGTAAGAATTATATTTCAATATACATTTCCTTTTTTTTCCTCTACTATTTACTAAACATAAAAGTTCAGAAGGTCTTATTTCTTCATATCAAAAAATGACTACTAATATCTTTCCAAGGTTACATCATAGTAATTATTCATCTTTTTTTTTCTCGATGTTGTTTTTTCTTTTGTTTGCAGAACAAATAGGACAGTAAGTGTTGAAAAGAAGAAATAACATTAATGTTGTTTGTCGTTAGACATCGCCACTTATTGTACAAAAGAAAATTTTCAGATCATTCATGTTGATCGCCATCAATGGCTCTTGCTTCATCACTTCATAGAATGTCAACTAGTTCCGGTTCTTCATCATCATCAAATACATTTCTTTTACCTACAACTGATTTAATTATATCTGATAATCAATTAATTGATATTCTTTTAAATGATCAAAATACAGAATATAAAATTCAAACAGTTAATCGTTGGTGTAAAAATACACGACGTAATCGTTTATCAACTATACTTGATGTTTCACAAAGACATGATGTATTATTATCTCTAATTAATATTCTTCAACAAACAACTAATTTAGAATATCAGTATAATTGTTTAACACTTTTATCGGAGATTCATATAAATATTCATCATTATGATCAACGAATTTATCTTCCAGGTTTGTTAAAATTCATATATATACATATTAATTTCTTATCTCTCTATCTCTGTAGCAATTATACAATGTTTTTCATCTACATCAAATGATGTACAATCATTAACCGTACAATTATTAACAAAACAAATACATTTAACATCGGATATTCGAACATTTTTATTTATTTATTTACAAGATGGTTTAAAATCTTCTAATATTCGAATACGTGTTATGGCTATTCAATCCTTAACCGAACTATTAAATACTATACATCAATATGAAAATCTTTCTCCAATATTCGAAGTTCTTCTACAAAATTTACAAGATAATACATTTCGTTCAACTTATAATACTATTCTTCTTAATTCTATTCAACATATTAAACAAATTATAGGTTTAGATTCAATTCATACTTATCTTGAAAATTATCTACCAATATTAAAACAAACATATTTTACATATGTACCACAAATAAATGAACAATCTCAAATTGTTCCTCTTGATACTGATTTAGATGATGATGATGATAGAACACCAAGAGCATCTCAAAATAATACGAGTCAATTAGATAATTCACATAATTTATTATCGAATCGAAAACCTCCATTACCAATAACAAATGATAATTTAGATTTTTATTCAATTATTGATTCATTACGTTCAAATTGGTCAGTAGCTGATGAAACAAATCGTTTAAATTATCTTGAACATTTTAAACAATCATGTGAAAAGTATTTACAAAAAATTCGTACACAATATTTATCACCATCACATGAATTAGAATTTCATCAAGTATTACATACATTTCTAACATCTATACTTGATCTTTTATCTTATTTAACATCATCAAATCTTGATATATCAATTAAAATTAAACTTGTTCTATCAACATGTCTTGGTTGGCTTATTAAACATGCTCAAGTTATTTATTGTAAAAGAAATTTTAAAACAATTTGTACAGTTTTTAAAAATATTCTTCGTAATGGACAATCGAATAATCGACAATTAGCAGTAGGTTTCATTTTTCTTATTATTTTATTCAGTTGCAAAAAAATAACTTGATTATATTCAGTTTTTACAAGGTTATGATATTTTAACATTTCTTTTTTCAAGGACAGGAGAGAGAAACCATTTAAATGATCAATTGTCTATTACAAGAATAGTAATGTTTATTTTGTTTTTTTCTATAAATATCAAAAATAAACATTGAGTTATATTTTTCTAATAGAATTAATTTTAATTGTATCGTTTTTTTCTCTATTTCAATAGAAATTAAGTGTTAGTCTTATTCTTTTACTTGAAAATTTTGTTCAACCTCCTCTTATTCTCAATGAATTAATCGATGATAATTTTGAATCTTATAATTATCGTATACAACTTGAAATGCTTGCTATTGTTACAGCAACATTATTAAAATATCGTCAATATCAATATGAAAATTTACCAAAAATTTCTCCTTATTTTCTTCCATTATTAATATCTAATCGTCGTGAATTACGTCATGGAGCTATTGAATGTTTTACAGTTATTTGTAGTTATTATAATTCATATAATCCATTGACATTAGCAATATTCGAAACAAATCAACCGATAAAACATCTTTTAACATCAATTGAAATTTTATCAATAGATGCATTTAATGCATTACGTTTTCGTTTATTACGTAATGTACTTCCATCTTTAACTGGTAAAGGAAATATAACACCAGGTTTAGTATGTGATTCAAATACATTAAATGATCCGGATGCAAAATTTATTTTATTGGTTAATAATCCAACACCAACTCCACGAACTACAACAGCACCCATTATTGAATCATCATCATCATTAACAAAAATAACACCGACGAATAATAAATTACTTCAATTAGCTATGCCTTTTGCAGCATCAACAACAAAAACAATTACTAATGACACAGTAAGTTTTTTTCTTCTTCTTCTCGCTGTCATGGTGTTTTTTCTCTTCTGATATCTGGATACTTTTAGTGATAATAAAAATAAGTGCAACAGTTCTCTTTTTTTTCTCATTAGTCAAATGCAGTTTTTATCATATTAGATTTATATTTTTCATATGACATATTATCATAAGTAGATTGAAAAGATTATAAATTATTTTTTGCGAATTTAGTTTTTTTCATGTATGATAAACTTGAAGTGATTGCGAATATACTTATAAATTTAATTGATAACAATCTATCGGTTGCGAAAATAATTTTACTTTAGAACCATAGACATGTAATTTAAGAATCTGTATAATTTTATTTATCGTATGCATTGTAATCGGAAATAAAGGAGAAGGTATATATATTTATTTGACAGGTTACAGAGACCTGCACTTAACATTTTTACTTAGATAATCTGCGGCTATATGATGGATGAACAATTAAAGCATGATGCTTAGATTAAAAATATTGTTGTTTTGCTAGGATTTATATAGAATAAGAACGAGTTGATATTAGAGAGAAAAAAACATGTTCTCTTTAGTTAAAAATGAAACCTTTGACTCCCAAGTATTTTCTTCTTTGTTTTAATTCATCATGTTTTTTTCTCTATTTGTCCTCAATCTATGAAAAAATCGTCTACTACCACCATCACCATCATCAACAATAAATGAGAGTAAAAGAGGAAAAAAAAGAAGGGGAATAAAAAAGAAACGATCGACGTCGTTTTTTTTATATGAGAATACATTAAAAACGATGATTGAAATCTTTGCTCTATTGCTATTATTTAACGGAGGTATATATGTTGTTAAATGAATGAGTGTGAATAACAAGAAGAAGAAAAAAAACAAAACATCATCATCATCTTACAGTTTTCTTTTATGTCTTCTCATAGCAACAACTGTCACTGGAAAACTTGACTTAATGTGTGTGTGTGTGTGTTTTGATAAAAGATGTTCATGTTAGACGATGAAGATCTTTTTTACTGGTCTAGGCGACCTACATTACTGGTAAGCCGGATATAAAAGAACAGAAAATATAAGAGGAAAAAAAGAGCGAGAAGGGAATATCAAGCCGTTTCTTCATTTCATCACAAATTGTATGCTCATGCGTGCATTTCAAATGAATTAGAAACAGACAGGTCATCTTTATCGTTACTATGCATGCACGCACTTCAACAACTATTGTAAGTTTTCTAATATTGTTTTAGAAATAGATTTTAAAAGCAAAGAAGAAGACTTTTATATCTACATGTATATTCATGGCAGAAAAATCAGTTTTACCTTATCAGTCAATAATAAATTAGATAGGAGAAATAAATCATATTGAAAAAAAAAGAAGTTTATGTTCACATTTCCCATCTGTACTTTAACAATAAATAATATATATATATATGCGTTTTATTTTAAATGATAAAAATACAAGAAAAAAAAATAGAAAAGAAAAAAGAAGAAATTTTTAAACTCATTAAGATAGTTTTGTTATTAATAAAAGTAGCGATGTTTTCTAGCGGAAACAAATTAGTTACTATAACAACTAATACAACATAGAAAGATGACAAGACCGCCTACAGTTTTTTTTTGAAAAAGTTGTTAGATTTATTTCATAGAACATCAAGTTTCTTTAATTAACTATTTGAAAAATGATTCTTATACATTTTCCTTTTTTAAGTATATTTTCCTATTTAATTTCGATTAATGAAAGAGTAAATATCTTCTTTCATATTATGAATAAAAAACAAAAAATCTCAACACATCCGTTGTTACACATGGTTAGAAAAATACAAAAAGTTATTTTAAATGTCAGGTTTTTCTAGTTAAGAACGTTCCCAGAAAATTATCTTTTAATTAATATATTCACTCAAAAAGAAAAACAATTTAAATCCTTGAGATAAACTTCGTTTCACTATATGGATTATTAAATATTCATAAATTTTGTATCATTATTGTTGACATTTTTTTGAATTATGATAATTTAGTTTTTGATTGATTTTTTTCGTTTCTGATTGACAAAATTATTTATAAATCATTTTATTTATAGGTAATGCGTAGTCGTGAAATACCACCATTGAAAGCATCTGATGCTGATCACGATCTACAACGTTTTACAACTACAAATCATCATTATGAACCACCAAAAAATCGTAAGTTTTGTCATTTTATTCTCTTCGTGGTGCACTTTTTCTTTTTAACATTACATATTAAGTTAGCATTAGCACCAATCATAAACGCATAAGTTTGTCAAACATCAGCCGGTAAGCGAGAAGAAAAAAATACCTGCGAACTTTCCATTGTTCTGATCTCATTATTATTTAAATTTCATCATCGTATATCTAACAAAGTGTAAACTTCTTCTTTAGATTCCTTTATGAGAGAAAAAAACTATTAAAATATTTTAAACATCGTATACTGTTTTGATCTTTTTTTTTCTTTTTCACTTCTTTGAAAATAATTTCACATCATCATTGTTAATTTATTGAGATAGAAAAGAATAAGATGTAATATTGACAGAATCGATACATTTTTAATGAGGTTTTTTAGGCAAATAGTAGGTTTTTTTTCTCAATGTATGTATGACAACATCAAATGTTGCCTATGTAATATAATAACCTTGATCAAGAAATATAGATAATCATTGCATGGATTGATTTCCATATACTCTTTACGTAGTCATTTTTTTTCTTAGTGTAAATTAATAAAAAGAATTTTGAGTTGTCAGACAATAGAAATAGAAACAAAGATTTTTTTCTATTTACCCTATCTTTTTATAGTAACACTTGTCACGACTGGTGGACTACCATTTGATTTTACTATAACTAGTAATAAAAGAGTTTATACTGAGAAATGGACGAAAAAATTATTAGTGAATAATAATCATCCACAACCCGGACTGACAAAACCTCTAAAAAAACGCGTAAAGACGCGTTTAAAATTCGTAAATATACCGTTTTTACGTATCAGAAACGTTAAAACGCCGTTTTTACTAATTCCTAATGCGTTTCTTCGTTTTTTTTGAGTTTTATCTGTCTGTGAAGGTTTGTATTTCAAAGATTTCATTTGATAATTTAAATACATTATCTCAATAGATTCTTTTAAGGAGAAAAAGAAGAAAAGTTTGAGTAAAATACACGCACTAATGTCTTTTATAATTGATTGCAAGGACATTATAATTTATTTTAATCGTATTTTCTTAATATATCTTAAGTATCGATGTCACATGGTATTAAAAAATTCTATTATTAATCGTATCAGACAGTAGAAATTTCCTGAACAGAATGATAGTTATATTTGAACTTAATGAGCTTTTTTTCTATCATGAGATAATAGAAAAATTCTCTCTATTTCCTGAAAAATATATCTATAAACATTAGAAGAACTTTTATTTAATGAATAAACTACTTGAAAAAGAAGAAAACAGCTTTAATGTATTTCTTTTTTTTTATATAAAATTCATTATTTAATATATACCATCAATAATGATTTCTCAAATTTTTTTTCGCTTAGAAAATAATCATAATAACACAATTCAATTTCGCCCATCTGCACCACGTCGTCCATCATTAAATCGATTTCCAGTTGCACATAGTCTATTAATTACATCACAAGTTCATAATCAACAAGAACAACAACAACAGACTCCACCAAAACGTCATTTTGATTCAGAAAATGATCATGATGAAGGTATTGGCAGTGCAGTAGAATCACGTTCTTTATCTATTAATACATCCGATGATGGCTTAATTGAGGTAATATATTCTATTAAGTTATACATAAAATTAAAAAAAACGTTATTTAGAACGATCATAAACAATCGATAAAACCTGTTCGATCAGTACATAGTAGTTCAACAAGACGTAAAGTCGATCGATTATTTAGTACTGGTAGTGATTTAGAATCAGCATCAGCACGAACTTTAACACCAGAAAATAGCAACGAAAGTGGTGTTTATTCACAATCAGGACGTGATATTGAAAACGATACAAATAGAAGTACAAGGTATTAATGCGATAAAACCTATTTTTAATTTATTTTCATAAGATAATTCTTTTTTTAGATCAGCGCAATCCATTGGCAACGAGCAATTATTTTCTACCAGACCACGTCTTGCTCGTTCGGCTTTAAAATCTAAAATTGACAAATCTCAATTACCACCTACTGATCCCTCATTATCATCCCGACAAACAACACATGATCATAGTTCAAATGGTGGAAATACACATCGTACAACGAACACAAATGTTGAAGTAATCGGAAAAGGTTACATGGATGAAAAAAGTCCTATGAAACAATTATCAACTGAATCTATGGATGATAAACAACCAGCTATAAATAAACCTCGAGCAAAACTTATTAAAGGTAATCAGATCTTTCGAGAAATTATAATTTATACTTCAATGATCTTCATTCTTACTCCTTCAACCAATCTACATAAGAAAAAACTCATATGATTTCGAGAAAATAATCAACACTATCTCCGTTATATTGAAATCTGACATCAATCATGATAATAAAACTTCCTATAAACTACGTCAACCGAATTAATTTCTTTTAAGCGAATTTCATTTTCATCTCATTTACCCTACAAAAAAGATCATTGAAATATGAACCAAAAATAATCGATAGATAGGATGCATTATAAGAATAACAAAAATAGAAAAGTCCTTATTTTTTTTTGCATTATTAATCTTGACATTTCAAAACAGGAAGAATCTCTTAATTATGCAGCTCATTTATATAAGCCGTGATGGTTTCAAGGTTTTTCAAATTAATTGTACAAAATTACTAAGAATAAATATCGTATAGTTTTTCTGAAACTTCGAGAAAAACAATGACGCACTGTTTTTATTTTTGAATGTATTAGACCATTAAACCAGAACCTTTTTTTTCCTATTGTCATGTTTTACTTGTCATATTTTCTTTAAAACATAATCAACTTAAAATTTTTTTCTTACATTATAAAAATTGTCAGAAAAATTCATTTACGTAGGTTCTGTTGTTAACAACCCTTTAAACATAACAACACATACAAACGTTAATCTTGAAGACACATCTATTCTTGATGATGACCAAGACATTGGAGTTATTGGAAAAGGTAAGATAAATTAAATTGTAATTCAAACAATTATTTGTTTTTTATGAAATAATTTTCTTAGCTGTTCATATTCCATTACGTATACGAGCTGAAACAGATGTAACTAAAATACAAAATACAAATACATTATTTAATAAATTAAGTCGACAAAGTGATAGTGTTGAAATGGTGTCCGATGAATATGATAGTGATTCAAAAGAAAATGAACATGTAAGAAAATAATTTTAAGAGCCCTTTTTTTGTAATGGTTTTTTCTAAATATTAGTTTGTTAATATGGGACAAACTTTATCAGCATCATTTCGTTTACGTGTTCAACAAAAAACTCAGGAAAAAATTGAACAAAAAGAACGTCGACGACAAGATCGAGAATATCATCGTCGTCAATTACAAATTCAACAACAAAATCATACTATAATTAATGGAGAAAATTTAAATGATAATGATCGTCCAACATCATCAACTTCAACAAGTCGATATTCATCTCAACCGGATCTTTCATCAGTTACAAATGAATTACCACCAACACCACGACGACAAATTGAATCAAGTGTACCTTCAATATTACCCAATGTTTCATCTCAACAACGTTTATTACGTAACAATAAAAATCCGTAAGTCAATTAAGAAATCGTTATTTTTCTAAATATTCTTATTTATTAAAGAATGGCTCGATCTCAAACATTTAATAATCGTCGTGAATTAGTTTCAACTGATCAACGTATTCCATTTAATCGACCATTATCAGAAGATCGTGTAACTGATCAATTAAGAAATCCTGATGGGGTTTTTCGTGAAGCAATGGACTCAGTTTCGAATGATGATTGGGAACGAAAATGTTCTGGTCTTGGTTTAATTCAACGTCTTTGTGCACAATATCCTGATTTAATTATACAAAATTTACATCCAGTTGTTATAATACTTATTCAAGAAGTTAAAAATCTTCGATCACAAGTTGCTCGATTTGCTTTATCAACATTTTGTGATATGTTTAAACATTTAAAACGAAATATGGATATTGAACTTGATATAACAATTAAAGCTATTATGCAAAAAAGTGCGGAATGTAATGAATTTTTTAGGTTAGTACCTCTATTTTCATATATTTATATAAAGAAAAACTTTATTTAGAAATGACGTAGAAAAATGTCTTCAAACCATGATTGAAAATGTGACAATTCAAAAAGCATTACAAGCATTAATAGCTGGTGGAGCAAGGTAATTAAAAAGCTAGTTCGAACGGAAATACAAATAATGTTTCCGTCTTAAATTCAATAGTAACACTTATTTGAGTATAAATCTATTAATACAAAAAACGAATTTAGAAATTACTCAATCTTAAAAATATAATGAATTTACTTACTAAAATTAGAATATTCTCTCATATTAAAAATAACTTTGTTAATTAATATTATTTTTTATTTTTTCTATATTAGTCATCGTAGTCCAGCTGTAAGAAAAACATCAGCAAAATACATCTATATTGTATGTGAAAAATTGGGTTCAAATAAAATTTTAAGTGGAATTCGTGATATAACAGAACGTGTATTACAAGTAGCTGCAACATTTGCATCGGATGGACCGCCAGAAATCAGGTATGTAAATATATAGTTTTTTAATAATAAATAATATGTTAATTTAATTAAGATGGTATGGTAAAAAAATTTATTATATGTTAATGTCATCGGATGAACTTGATCCATTAATGAAACATTATCTTAATCCAACAGCTTATTCAAATATGTGTGAAGTTCTTGATAATATTCGTACTAAAGTATATAGGAATTTTTGATAGATGAAGAAACATAAAAAAATGTATATTTTATTAAATAGGGAGGAGTTGGTGAAACCCCGAGTGAATCAGCACGAAATCATGGACGACGTGTAGTTTCGTCTGATAAAATGCATACAACTGGGTAAAGAAAAATTTTCTTTCGGAAGATAATTAACTTATCTTATTCTTATTTATTACTTAGTAATCTAACAAATCATTTCACAGCAATACGTAAATTGAATAGTGCAGATCAAACTGAACAAATTCGTAAATTAACAAAACAAATGCGTAGTTCAGATTTTCGCGAACGTTTAAATGGTATTGAAGAATTTCAAAAATTATGTGAACTTGAAACCGATATAGCTATTCAATCACTTGTACAAATCTTTGATGGATTCAATGAATGTCTATCTGATATGAATTCAAAAGTTGTTCTTAAAGCCTTAAATACAATGCATCAACTTGTACCTATATTAGCTGATGCATTATCAGCTGTAATTAATTCGACATTACCTATAATTGCACAAAATATTGCATCAAAAAATCGAGAAATATCTCAACTTGCATCAGATATAATTGATGCAACTATTGAATATATCGGTAAAATAAAATCAACGTGTATATATATAAATAAAAAACGATTTTTATTATAATTTTTCAGATAGTGGTTATCTAATACAACCTCTTTGTACATTAAGTCAAAATAGCAATCTACGTATTCGACCAGAAATCGTTTTAAAATTAGCTAGTAAGAATTAATTAGTAAGATGTTTTAATTATAATCATATATTGTTTTTATTTAGCTATTGTTCCACGTGTTTGTCAACGTAAACCTAAACAAGTTGAAATTCATCTATTACCAACCTATTGGAAATTATTAGCTCTATTACGTGGTCAAAATTCTACAGCTATAACATCATCAGCTGGTGGTTCCAATACTTTAAATGCGTCAATTCATACATTAACAACAGCTCTTTATACAGAACTTGGTACTGTACTTCTTGATAAAGCTAGTTCAAGTTCACAAGTGACACCAAAAAATTTACAAGTCCTTCGTGAACTTTGCATAAATATTGATGCTGTGTGATTTTTCTTTTCTTCGTTTTCTTTCCTCAGTTGTGATTTAAATATAATATATATATACATAATTATTCCCATGATTTTTTTCACGCATGGTAGTTGTTCATTTGTACACACAGCTCAAGCAATTTATTCATTTTTGTTTTGTTTTCTGAACAGTGACATATGTTTTCTCGTATTCAGAATTTCATTTATTCATTAAAAATTGTTCTTCTGTGATTATTCATAATGACTGTTACTAGTTATCTTTTTCTTGTTCTTCTTCTTTGATTCATTTTTTCGTGCGCGTTTTTCTTCGGTGTTTTTGCAGTATATACGAAAAAAAGAAAGGAAAAGAAAGAATGATAGTGTGTATGTATATATATATATATTTGTATCAGCAGAGATAAAACAAAAGAAAATAAAGATTTTTATGTTTTAACTTGAATACAATTAAAAATCGATAAAATTGAATTATTGATTTGTATTGATGGATCATCAATTTGAGCAAAGAAAAGAAAACGAAATGATGCTTTAGTATTTCGATAGATTTCAGGAACCATTTCATAAATTGGATCAAATGGAATTAAAGACATGAGAGTATCGAATGATTGTTTCATAAGAGAATTATTAATAATATGATTATATAAATCAATATGAATGAGTGAACAGCGTTTTTTTAATTCATCTAACATCTGAGAAATCTGATCAATATCATTAATTAATCCAAAATTAAAGATACAAAAATTTCCTTGTATAATTGAATATTTCAATGCTTGAATAAGATTATTGTTAAATGAATCGAATAATTCAATGAATGGACCAGAATTAGAATAACGATATAATGCTGTTGCATTGCCATTTTTTGATAGAAATAATGGACATTTATTTGAATTAAATGGAAGTTTTGAAAGAACTGTTTTTGGTTGAATATCATTTAATAAAACTTCTTGATTTAACGAAGTTTTTGAATCTGTTTCTACTTCTGACATTTTTTTGCTTTTACAGAAATACACTCAATTAACTTTCTTTTGATCGAAAACTGATTTCTATTCTGACAAAGAAAAACAACAACTCAATTTTTCATCATGCTGTCTTTTTCTTTCTTTCATTCTTTTATTTATTTATTATGTAGCTATTATACTACTGGTAATTTAGTATAGGAGAAGAAAAGTAATTTTTGATTTTCAATTTAATTATTTATAAAAATAATATTGATGTTTTTACTTTTGACAATATTTTTTTTTCTTTGTCAGTATTTAGTTTGAAGCATTTGTTTATATATATATGGTTCATCAATAAGGCAAAAATCTTGATTTATAATCATCAGACTATCCATCAGAATAGCAAAAAAACAAGAGTAAGAAAAAAGGAAAAGTTCTTGTCTTTACAGCATAGTTAGCACTACGCCTACAATTCATAATATGAAATATTGCTGTTGGCAAATGTGACACATTTGCTGTATGCAAAGTGTTTTTCTCGATAATAAGAATGATCCCAGATGAATAGATATGTATGCATGTAAGAAGAAAGAATGTTCTTAGACAATTGTTGCATATAGAGAAGAATCATTAAATACAAAACAAAAAAATATATTTGCAGGCATATTAGTCCTCTTTGATGAAAAAAAAAGATCAAATAACAAAAGAAATATTTTTTTTCATTGAATTTATCTATTCATATATCTTCAATGTATCGCTCTAGGGTGATAATCACAACAACAGATTACATAAGATATTGTTGAATGATATTCAAGATCGTCATGATGTCGATTGAAAAAAATTCAGATTATGCTCGAAGGGTTATACTTTGTATTTAATGAGTATATATTGAGCATGTAACTAAAAAAAGAATATCTTTTATTCTGACACACATATATATAGATATATATAAATTCATTGAACATAATCGTATTCAAGCTTGAATAAATCTGGCGAGGAAAAGATTTTCATAGTTAGCCTGCTGATTTTAACAACACGACAACGTAAGATAAAGTGGTAGAACTTTCATTGAGACCTTTTTCCCTTCTATTTTTTATGACAGATGATTACTAAATCTATTATTTCCTTCTTCTTCTTTTTTTGCCTTTTTTTTTTCGCAGGAGAAAAAGAAAAGGAAGAACCATCTCATCACTGGGTTGTCGTTCTCTTTTGATAAGAATAGGAGAGAGACAAGCAATGAAAGAGAGAGAAACAGAGAGATGAGCGAAGAGAAAAACACAGAAATTAAAAAGCCCGAGAGCGGAAATGTTGAACTTTCCGGTTGTCGACGCATACCACTGTTGGCTAAGATGTCACACGAATCAATATGTTAACTTTGAATACTTTCATCATTCAAGAATATATCAGTAACAATTCAACGTTATAAATAATGCAGTTTTTATCAATAATTGTAATGTTTTTATTATTTTTATTGGGAACAGTAAAGATCCATTTTTGTAATACTACTGTTCAAATTGCTGTTCTTCTACCAACTGATCCTCAATTACCATTTGCTATGCAAAAAGTTAAACCAGCTATTGATTTAGCTGTTTTAGAAATACAGAAACGTGGCTTATTGCTTAATCGAAAATCATTTGATGTTCGTTATGGTGATACAAATTCATCGTATATTGTTGGCCCTCTATTAGCTATTGATTTTTATGCTAATCGACAAGCTCATGTATTCTTAGGACCTGTTGATGGTCCAGGTTTAGCTGCTGTTTCAAGGTAATCTTTTTCTATATATATATATGATTTCATTCAATGTTCGTTTTATTAACTAATTAATTCAATTAGATATTCACCACATTGGCGGATACCTGTCATATCACCAGGAGGTGGTTTTAATTATCATTTTGATAATAAACGTGAATATCAATTATTGACAAGAATGCTTCATTCATCTAAAACTATAGTTCATTTTATATCACGTGTAATTTTACCACATTTTAATTGGACTAGTGTACGAATTATAGCTGAAAGAAATGTTGTTGAAGCCCAAGTAAGCTTTTATATATGTATATATATTGCAATTAGGTTTTAATTTTCAAATAAAATTAGAGTGAATGTTATATGTTAATGGGTGCTTTATGTCGAACATTACGCAATCCAAATAGTAAAGGCGAATCAAAAGACACGTTAGTTAATTGATGTCAATTTTAATTCATATTCAATGAAGTTTTTTTTCTTCTTCTTATAATTAGATGTTCTCATTCCATATTTGATGTTGATCGAAAAAATGAAACAAAAGAAAAATTACGTAAAACATTAAATGATGCAAAAACTGAAGCAAGAAGTAAGAATGTTTTAGATTTAATTATTATTAAATTCTAATCTATTCTATTAGTTTTATTTATATGTATGGATTCATTGCTATTTCGAGATTTTCTTCTAATGGCTTATGATCTGGATATGATCAATGGAGAATATGTTTTTGTTTATTTAGATATTTTTCGATTGATGAGGTTCAATTCTTTCTTTATTAATTATTAATAATGAATAATTTTGTTTTTCTATTAATCCAATAGAAAAGATATGAATTTAATTGGATGGTATAAAAATGATTCAAGTGAAGCAGAAAATAGTAAAGCTCGTCGTGCTTTTGAAACAGTTCTAATATTAGCAGTTAAAAAACCAGATACTGAACGATACCGACATTTTTCTTATCAAGTTAATACATTACAAGGAGGAATAAATAATGAAAGTAGTTCAATGGAAAAACTTGTATGTTTGACAATTGTTGCTGTTTTTTTATTTTTATTTTTATTTTTATTTATTGATTTAAAGGTGAATCCATATGTTGCGACATTTTATGATGCTGTTTTACTTTATGCATACGGATTAAATCGTACAATAGAAGCACATGAAAATGCTAGTGATGGATTTGCTGTTGTACATAAAATGTGGAATGTTAGTTTTGAAGGTTTGAACAAATCAGAAAATTTTTTTATTGTAAAAGAACTTAATAAATTATATTTAGGATCAAATGGTATTGTACAAATTAGTGAAACTGGTGATCGTGTTAGTGATTATTCGTTATTTGATCTTAATACAAAAAATGGTCAATTTGAAGTAATGAAATTTTTTTACATTAAAATAAAAATCTTTTGTTTTTATAGGAAGTAGGAACTTATTTTGGTGTTAATTCATCATTTATCCTATCGAAAGATATTTATTGGATTGATGAGGTCAAAAAAACACCAGTTGATGTTCCCGTAAGATAATAAAATATTTCAAAATAACATATCATTTGCTTCTTTTAGCCTTGCGGTTTCGACGGAAGTAAATGTTTTGTACATAAAAGTATGTTTCATAGCTCATCAAATTTAAAAGGAAAAGATTAATGTTATTATGTTTTTCTTTTTCAAGATCCAGCATTACCGTGGATATATTTTACTGCAAGTGTAACATCAGTTATTATTGTATTGATTATAGCTGCATTTTGGTATTTTAAACGTGTTAGTTTTGAAGCACAACTTAGAGCAATGAATTGGATTATTGAACCAGATGATCTATTTACAATGGAAGATATTGGAATTAATAAATACAAACAAATCAAACGAGGAGATCGACATAAAGTAAAAAAAAGAAATGAAAGTTTATTTCCTTGAAATTCTTTCATGTTTATTTTAGCGTGCTTCTATGCATCATATTGCTTTATTTGAAGAAGACAATGATACAGAGAATGGTGCACCCGTAAAAACAGCTCGATTTAAGGTAATGAATGATAAATATCTTGTTTAGTTTCCGAATGTTTTTTGCTTTAACATGAGATCTTATAATTTCATTTTAATTATAATAATTCAAACTGCTATTTCACATGCAAATTTACTAGAGAACATTTTAGTAAACCGGAACATAGTTTTTATAATTATAGAAAACAATAATTTGGGAAAAAATTGTTTTAGAAATAAACTAGGCGTTTTGTCGTATCAAAAAAAAAATATGTCAGCAAATTGCAAGTGTGACATGCCATTAGAAAATAATCTGTCACAATTTTACTATAGGAAAAAAATCTTCTTCTATGTCTATTTGATACGAAAAGCTAAATGCGACAGAACAGATGCTTTACTTAGCATTTTGTTGATGTCTTTGACAATTCAATGTTAGACCTTTTGTTTGTCATCAAATAATATTATCGACTCATTCTCCCTGGTATATCTTCGAGAAAACATATTTTGTTCTCTAAAAATCTATTTCCGATAATTACTTAGAATAAACTAATTACTAAAATAAGCTGTTCTATTTGTCATTATGAAAGTCATAACAATCTGTAAATACTAATGCTTTCGGGCAAAACAAATGATAATGGGACAGATTTGGAATGTCATAGTCTACAAGGAAAGAAACATTGTATACAGAATGACAAGATGAATATTTTCAAAGAATAAACTTCTTAATGTTTCTCTTAATAATAAAAAAATGAAGATTTTATTTGAGTGATGATCAAAAAACAAAATAATGATGGGAATCTATTTCGTAATCTTCTTTATTTTAGGGATCAATAGTAGCATTAAAATTAGTTCAAAATAAATCAAGAATTGATGTTAATCGATTATTACTCATGGAAATAAAAACTGTAAATTCAGATTTGTTTATAAATATTTTTTGCAGACTTGTTATTTGTTAATTTAAAGATTAAAGATATGCAAAGTGAATATCTTCTTCGATTTATTGGTGCATGTATTGATCCAGCATGTTTAGTTAATGAATATTGTTCAAAAGGAAATTTACAGGTTATTTAATTACAATATACTTTTCTGTTATTTATATTTGGTTTTTCTGTAGGATCTTCTTGAAAATCCTCAAATAAAACTTGATGATATGTTTAAATATTCTATTATTCATGATATTGTCAAAGTATAATTTTATAGAATTATTTTCATAGATATTAATCTGGTTTTTTTCTCTATAGGGAATTTTATACATTCATAACAGTGATCTACAATCCCATGGAAATTTAAAAAGTACAAATTGTCTTGTTGGTAGTCGTGTAAGTTTAAAAAAAATATAATTCAATAAAACAAAATCAATTGATTTACTTTCTAGTTCGTTGTTAAAATTTCCGATTATGGTGTTCCATCTCTTCGTTGTCCTCTCCATCAAAAACATCCACCTAATAGCGAACAATATTATAAATGTAAATTCAAGACAAAACAAATATATATAAAAATTTGACTGTTTTTTTTTGTAAAGCATTGCTTTGGTCACCACCGGAAGTCATACGTGATCTACATGCTCCTGTTTTAGGTACACAAAAAGGTGATGTATATAGTTTTTCAATAATACTCCATGAAATTATATATCGACGTGGCCTTTTTGCAATAAATGAAACAAGTGTAGCACCAAAAGAAATTTTTCTATCAATTAAATCCGGAAATGAAATTCGACCACCATTTCTTGGTGAGAATACACTTTTTGAAATAGGTAATCTGATGAAACGTTGTTGGCAAGAAATTCCTACGGATCGACCAGATTTTACATCAGTTTTTAATACAATTAAAAAATTAAGCAAGTAAGATAATCGGGGAAAAAGAAACCCACACGAAACTATTTGATTTATTTATGATTTTAATACTATAGAAAATATGATAATGAAAATCTTGTTGATAATCTTTTACAACGTATGGAACAATATACAAATAATCTTGAAGAACTTGTTAAAGAACGTACAAATGATTATTTAGTTGAAAAGAAAAAAGCTGAAGAATTACTTTATCGTTTATTACCACAGTGAGTAAAAATTTTATTTGCATGTTAGTCAAAGTTTTGATATTTACAAAAAAAACTAAAATCACAGTTCATTAAGAAATGTCATGTTGTATTAAATGAAAAGTAAATTGTCTTTAGACTTTTATGATTCTAAATGTTATTTTAATCTATTTCAAAAAAAACGTATTAAATTAGTTTGCTATGCTTCTGACAGGTACTATTAAATATAATTAAGATATATTTCAAAGACGATAGGATGACTAGATTCTGTAATAATTGCTATTCTATTAATAAATTATTTCTTATCACGTATTGTATTTCGTAATTAAAAGCTCGTTTTCATCATGAAGAAATTACTGAATATTCCTAATTATCGTACACACGTATGACATCTAGATAGATAAGAATAAATGTCATCAATTATTAAAATATGTGATAAGACTGTATTATTTGTATTGTTAATTGATAAGTTTTAACACTATTTTATTGAATATATGAGAATATATTTCATAACAACATCATGTAAAAAGGGAATTTTAAAAGACAAATTGAATACCAATCAATCTATATTTGTTTATGTCTTCATTAAAGGTCTGTTACAACTGAATTGATGGCTGGTAAACAAGTAACAGCTGAATCATTTGAATGTGTAACTATTTATTTTTCGGATATTGTTGGCTTTACGAAAATATCAGCGGAAAGTACACCATTACAAGTAAAAATCTTTGAAATAATTTTCCTTGAATTCTTTTCTTGTTTTGTAAAATTAGATTGTTTCTTTACTTAATGATCTTTATACATGTTTTGATTCAATTATTGAAGCATTTGATATTTATAAAGTTGAAACAATTGGTGATGCTTATATGGTTGTTAGTGGTTTACCAACACGTAATGGTGATTTACATGCACGTGAAATTTCACGTATGGCTTTAACAATTCTTGATGCTGTCATACATTTTCGTATTCGACATCGACCTGATGAACAATTAAAAATTCGTATTGGTCTTCATTCAGGTAGAATCAAAAATTTTCTCTTTTTTAAATAGTTTTATTCATATATTTGGATTTTTTTAGGTCCATGTGTTGCCGGTGTTGTAGGTTTAAAAATGCCAAGGTAGTAAAAAACAAAATTTCTAGAAAGAAAAAATATTTTATTTTGTATATTTATTTAGATATTGTCTATTTGGTGATACAGTTAATGTTGCTTCACGTATGGAATCTAATGGACAAGCATTACGAATTCATGTATCACCTTTTACTAAAAATTTACTTGATAAATTTGAAACATTTCTGTTTGAAGCTCGTGGAGAAGTTAATCTTAAAGTAAAACTAAATTAGTTAAATATATATATACATTATTGTTTATTTTAGGGTAAAGGTGATATGTTAACTTATTGGTTATTAGGTGAACGCGATGGTTTACAAGTACCATTTAGCAATGATTCCGATCTTAATGATAATAAGCATACAGTAGAGAAATGAAAATTCAGATTACCGATATATTCCATTTCATATTTTTGTTTTGTTGGTTTTTTTCTTTTTATTCTTATTCTAAATAAAAATTTTATTTAATTTTCATTATATGATCATTTAATAAGTTAAACAGATTGATAATAGTGAAGATGATTTTTTTATTTATTACCCAATGTTCTAATAAATATTTATGGTTTGATCATAATTAATTTATAGATAGTCAGCTTAAAAACACTGAATAGTAATTATGCTTTCAGATGTTTTTCATTTTTCTTGATCGTGACTCGGAATTATCAACAAAATATAAGGAAGATTGATCAAACAGTTATTATTTATAATACTTTTGACGTACTAGCTTTTAGTATTTAAAACTGGACACTCAAGACATACAATGATTCACAATATAAAGTAACTATATTTTTCTATTTAGTATTATAAATAATGTTTACCTTCCATCATTTCTCTTACTACGATCGCGAATAGTTATTTGAAACTTTATATGATAAATTCTGATTAGAGAAGAAAAGCAAGCTTGATAAAAAAATTTTTAATGTCTTTCAAATTTTTCGAATCATATTTGCATTGAATGAAATCGAAACTACACTTATTTATAGATTAGACACATTATGTAAATCGTAATAAAACTTTTTTTCTGACATTATAAAGATATTGAATGTCTGAGTATACGTATGCATTGCTTGTAAAGTTTGTTTATACTATGTCTATCTTCAATTTTTAATCATTTTTCAAACGTTATAAGAAAAATAATCCATAAAAAATTGAAAGATATAATTAGAACATATTTCTATATCCATATAAAACTCCATAAGAATGTCATATAATAATAGGATCAAGAGATCAAATTTATTTTTCTAAGTTATCTCATACTGTTTTCTAAAAATGGCTTTATTATCAGAACAGTAAAAATTCCTGAAATATTAAATTATTTTCATCGTAATTATAAAAATCATGGTAAGACTAATGTATTAATTTAATAAACTCATCTCATTACGTGGGTAAATGTCATAAACAGTCTTCTCATACTACACATACCCATACAGGAGTGACAAACTTTTAATTTCTTACGGATTATTATTCTAACGTAAATATGAGATCTACTGAAATCTTATTCGATCTATTGAAATATATGCTTAAATTTTAATAACTAGATCATTTGTCGGAACATGTTGACATATAGTATTACATAGTTATTCATTTGCACTTTATTATAAAAGTTGAAAGTCTAGATTCATCATTCAAAGGTTAATTATCCCCTAATATAAAGAAAAACTAAATAAATTTATATTTTAAAGTAGTAGATCATTCTTTATTCTTTAGAATATCAAATAATAAGTTTCTTTTATTATAAGTACGTATTGTCTACTTTATTAATCATACTTAAATCCACTTGATTATTCAAACTTTCCTCATTTTACATCTGTCAGTCAAATAAGAATCTTTATTAAAATTGAATCCGATAAGAAAAAAATATTTCACATTGTATTTTCCTGTTCTTGACAATGTAACAGAATGTTTGAAGAAAAAAAAACTAACAACATACCAAATCTACTGATTAAATTCTTATCTTTCATTGATTGTAATTAATAACTTTTAGGATTTTATTTTTTTTTCTATTTATTTTTAATAAAAGAAAATGTAATAATTTAGAAAACGTATATATATATATAATGAGTGCATGTCTGATTAATTAATAACAACCGACAACATTAAATAAGTGCGTAAAATATTAAACATATTTATCAAAAAACGAAACAAGAAAAGCAAATGAATTAATTCATACAAGAGACAACCAACAAAGAGAAAAAATCCACCGGCAAAATAAATAAACATAACAACGGACGGTTATTATTTTAAGATGTTCCCTTTTTTTTTTTATTTTATAAAAGCGAATGCATATGTAACGTCAAGATCTTCATCTGACATAAAATTTTTGATCGAATTTATAATATTATACATGCATCACAACAACCAGGCGTTGAATTTGTATTAGTATTTGATGCTATTGCATCTGGTGATGTTCCTTGTTGATTATTGTCATGTTTATGTTTTCGTTTTTGATCGCCATTTGTTGAATCAGGAAGATGTTCACGTTGAATAAGATGCATCACAGTTGTTTTGCCTGAAAAACATAAATAAATAAATAAAAAGCGGTTTTTTTTTATAAATTTTTAAATACCTTGTTGAAGACGTAAAGCACTTAATGTAACATTTCCATGTAAAAATCTTCCTTGATAAATTAATCTTAAAACTTCATATCGATCAGCTTTTTCTTCACTTCCCCAATCTAGTAAATATAGAAAATAAACATAGGCAAAATGAAATTTATTGTTTTATACCTTCGGGCCAATTCTCAAAGACATATTTTGCTACATCTAATGCTGTTGTGGCAGATGGAAATTGAAATTCAGCTGTTTTACCACTAACAAGAATTAATTTTAGATTGATCTGTAGAATTAGAGAAAAAAAAAATAAATAAAAATAAAATCTTGAAAACTTTTTTCTTTTATTTACAATATCAGACGGTGAAGATTTCGTTCCCATTAATGATCATGACATTTAATGAAAAGTTTATTTAAAAGATAAGCAAATAATAATAATGTTGTTTTTTCTACACATACGATTATCTTAAGATGAAAATTAATAATTCTTGTCGCTAGTATCAATAATAAATTTAGAATTTAAATTAGAAAAACAAATATTCTTAATTCTATTTTTAAAAACGAAACTATTTATTTCTTTTCAAAAAAAACCTAAATTTTTTTATTAGAAATATTAATTTATCATTGGTAGGATAGATGAACTAATAGAAAGAGAGATAGTTTTCTTTCTTCTTGAAATGAATTGTTTTTGAATTTAAATATGAAATTAACACAAAAAACACTTTTTCAATGTTTCGAAAAATCTCGACCACAATCACCGTTACTTAAATCTTCACAAGGTAGAATAATGATAATTGATTTAACAAAACAATCCATTTTTCTTTACAGATTCTCCTCCATGTGAATCTCAAACAAAGATCTCTTCTGAACAACAACAATCTTCTGTTCGTCAACCAGATTTTCTTCTACCTATACATATACGACAATCAAATGATTCATTATCTAATACTAATATCCCTTTACTTAATGAAAGGAAATACAATGATGATAAATTTTTGTATTCTAGTCAAGAATTTTATCGTATATGTCCAACAGTTATTAATAATCAAATTCAATTACCAAAAATCGAGGTAATTTCGACAAAGTCTGCCCTATTCATAACGCGAAGATTGACAAAAATGAAGAAGATGTAGCATTGAGAACTCTATTATGTCTAGTAAAAAGTTCAAATTGTGTCTTATCGTGTTCTCGGTGTATGATATGAGTAGTTTTATGGAACAAAACAAGTGTGAAGCGCTTGAGAATAAGATTTATGCTTTCAAACAGTCTATTTTACAAACTGAACAATCGACAGATATAACAATTTTTCTATTTATTTTTTCTTCGTTAGTTTACTAAAATATCTTCCATCGAACGTCAAATGGAATTATTTGAACAGTATACTAAAGATGAAACATTTATTGATTGGAAATCAATGTTTCAATGTTTACAAAATTATCAAAAAAAAACCATTGAACAAAGTATAAAAACAAAACATTATTTTATGTTTTCTTTCTATAGAAATTTTTTATTAGATCAATATGAACAATTACTTTGGACTGATATGTATCGTCCGAAAAATTCTAAAACCTATCTTGGTAATCATACCAGACAAGTAAAACGTTTAAATGAATGGTTTTCATATTGGACAGAAAAATTACAAAATGAACAACCTAAGAAATCTATTGGGAAAAAGAGAAAACGCGCTCGAAATGATGATGATAATGAAGATTCCAGTGAAGATTTTGATGATAACTCAAGTACGTATTTAATAATAAAAAATTCGGTTAATATTTTATTTTCTCTCATATTCAATCACATATATCATTGATTGCAATATTAAACTATTAACCAAAATAAACTAAATATAATCTTTGATTATATGCTCGACAAGGTCTAGATCATTAATAGATTACAATGATATCTGGGTATAACGAGCAAACATTTTTTTGTTTATTGATGATTCATACAGCATAATATATTAAAATGTTCATATTTAGATATGTCCTATGGTAGTTATTATCATTCTAAACCAGAACATCCACAATTGATTTTTATTCATGGTTGTGGAACAACATCACTTGTACATGCACTTGCGGAAGAATATAATTTTAAAGTAAATATTATCATCTACAGGACAATGTTAAAACTTGTATTTATTCATCATTTAGATAACAGAAATCAATGGATCTCAATCGCGTGCACGTGCACCTTTACTCAAACAACTTGAGCAAGTAACAAGTCATCATCATCTATCTTTTAAACGTACTCCATCAGATACGATAATATCGCAAGGTAAATATCTTTGAAATTTAAGCTTTTTAAAAATTCTTTCGTTTTATTTTTAAATAGAAAAACCAAATAAAGAGATATCATCTCCATTACCTGTAAAGAAAAAAGTGAAAAATGAAACGAGTTTAATTGCATCATATTTTAAACAAATAAAAAAATCATCGGAACAAAACAATGATGATGAACAAAAAGAAAATGATTCTAATCATCGAACAAAATCAATGAATTCAAATAAAATCGAAATAAAAAAATTAATAAATAAAACAAATATTCCAAAACGACGAAGTAAAACAAAACAAGAAGATTTACCAATAGATAATCATTTTATATCATCAATTCAAGTTGAAAAAACATCGCTTATTCTTTTCGATGAAGTTTGTTATTTTCTAAAAAATTCAGTTCTTATTAAAAACAAATTTCCTTGATCATTAGATTGAAACATTAACAACAGATGATAATTTTTGGTCATGTTTAAAAAAATTACTTGAAACAGCTAGAAAACCGATTGTCCTTACATCAAATAGTAGAACAAATCCGGAAGATGCAATTATTAATTTATCAAAAATTGGACATTATGAACTTATTCATCTTGAACAAAATGAACCTGTAATAAGTGCATTCATTCATTCGAATAATTATCATTTGAATTTCTTTTGTTTGAAATAGGAAGTTATTTGCTTTTTTCTTCGTTTAATACTTTTGATTGAAATGTTCGAAGTACCTTCATTGAATGATCTTATGTTACTTGTTCAATCATGTTCATATGATTTACGTCAAATTTTATTAACACTTCAATTCCTTGTTCAATCATCAGATAAAACAAATAATTCAATAGAAGAGACGGATCCAAAAATTTCGAAACCAAAATGGCAATCATCGCGTATATTCGATGCTATGCATTATTCATATCTTAATGAACAATGGAATGAGCCACCATTGAAAGTATTTTTTGATGATTTAACAAGAAAATTTACATCAGAATATGAACGTTCTCATCAATTATTATCTGATCCGATTAAAAACGATACAAAACGGTAGATTTAAATTTCGATTAATTTGTTAAATTCAATTTTTTTTATTATAGAATTGAATTGTATGATACATTCAAATTATTTATGCAAGAACAAGAAATTCCTAATATTATTGATCATTCAACATTTTATCTTGATTATCGACCGTATATTCGACAAATTTGTCAAAATGAAAAAATTCGCGCAGATGAATTAAACTCAAATCGACGGTATATTTATATAAATCGTATTGCATTAATTATCTCGTTTTTTCTTTCTAGTCTTCGACATAATCTTAGTTTTCGTGGTTGTTCATTACAATGGCCTGATTTTGAAATTTTATCAGCCGGTATTGATTAAGTCTTTAAATATTAGAATTTTGTCAGATATTTGTTTTTTGTGATATCTTGTATTATTAAATAATAAAAAAAATGTCAGATAGTTTGTTCGGATATATTTATAATTATGCAATTTCTTTGCTATTGACAGAGCAAGTTTGTTCACGTTTTGTTCATACTATTCTATTAGAATTACGTGGATAAAAGATCAATCATACAAAAAATCTTTTATGTTGCCGATGTGTAACCTTCATAAACCACGGATTAAGTTATTATTTGAAAAAAAGTAAATCTTACATGTCATTTTAAAAATAGATTATTCTATATCTCTCACTAATACATTCGTCTTGTATATACTATTAAAGAAAGTTAACTGCCATTAATATTTTCTGTGATATAATATTCGTAATTGTCTCACGTAGAAAATTTCGTCGTTATAAACTTTTCTCAGAATGGCTTCGTCTACTTAGACATATCTAATGTACTGTTAAATACTTACATGTTGTATAAATAAATGATTCTAAGATTGCTTTACTCTCATAAACAAGTTAAATCAGACTAAATTAAAAGAATGTAGATGGTACTTATAATCGAGCTTACGTGCTTAAATTTTTCTATGAACATAAAATGAGTTCTTACTCAACAACGTTTTATTCGTATTTACGTCGTTTGAAGTATTTTCCTTCGTGTTACTTTTATGTTGTTTTCTCACGAACAGACATTTGTATTATTTAATAAATAAATATAAAAGAATTAATTAATAATTTATGTTTAGAGAATATTAATATGAAATGACATCTTAGTGTAAGTATGTAGTATTCATTAATATCTACATACTATACAAATTAATCTTTGTATATAAATAAATTTGATATTCATTATCGTTGATAATAAAATAGAAAAATAAGTAAACTAAAAATTTTTAGGTGAATGATGCAGTTAGACTAATTAAACTTGTTATTTTATTTAAAATATAGTCTTGATTTCCTTGATGAATATTCAATGGATGATCGATGAATTTTGTCAAAAGACTATTGATTATGAAAGAAAAATAATGAATAATCTATCAATAAAAAAAAAGGAAAATATTTCATATAATCGAATTTTCTCTAGATCATAGGATTACCATTCATAAAATATAATTATATTTCCGATCAATCTGTTTTTATCCAGGATACATCATACTATCAAATATTGATTTAACAATATATTTATTAAGTTTTCATCTGTCATTTGACTAGATGCAGAAAAACACAACAGAATGTAATATTTGAAATATTTACTTAAAAGTATGAATTTTTACTTCATCTGTTTTCTTCTATATGTAAATGTAATGTATGTTTTCAAGGTATGTATGTATGTTTATTTAATATCAATAATGATTAACTCATTTTTCGATCACGATTCTTAGTATGTAAATGAAGTCATATAGTGTACTTCAGAGTCGTTTACTTATTCTAATAGAGATTAACAAATGATTGCATGTTTTATTCGAAACAAAAATAAAATGTTGTCAAATCATGTATACGGAAATTAGTCGATTGCAGAAACATTTCATATTTAATAAAATACTACATGTTGCCGTTATTTGTTCCGCCTATTTGATTTACTTAATTTAAAAAATGTTAGCACCGAAAGAACGGAAATGACTTTTTTTTTTCTTATTTAAAAAGTACCACAGGAAAGAAATAATTTTACATATTACAAAAACATTTAATAAAGTCATTCATCCTATATATGTGGGTGAAGTATGATATTGTTTTTGTTCAATATATTATCATGTTATTTGATTTACAAAAAAATAAAAAATAATTACTAGAATTAAATAAAACGATCTTTTGACTTTTTTGTTATTATGAATTCATGATGTTTTGCCTTTGGGTGAATTATATAACTAGTATGATACTGAATAAATAATGACTTACTTTTTTTTCCTTGATAGATGATCTTTGTTTAGTTTAAAGGGTATAACAAGTTATAGCATCAGTGACCCATTTCCTTTCTGTTAAATTAAAATAGAAACTATTTATTTCTAACACAATATTGAAATATATGAAGGGTGTTTAAGAAGTTCTTGAATTGTTACAATTAAAAAAACGTACTGAATGAAACACGTAAATATATACATGGAAAAATAAATATTTAGTTTAGATCATTTTTAATATACTGACAGAAAAATCATTAAAAATGACTGTAGTTCAATATGTTCTGCGTGAGTCCACATATCATCTATCATACGATTGAAACAATGCGAATGTAAATCATATAATTATTAAAAACGTGATACCTAAAAGCATTTGAACTTTACAATTAAGTAAATAGCAGACACTATTTGCATTTAAAATATATCATGTAAAGTCTATGCATATCGACCTGATGTCAAACGAACATTAAGAAATATTTATTTATATTTAAAATAGAAAATTTATTCAGACATCCTGACTTACAAGACAGCAGTTTTACTGTAAACTATTCTTAGATATTTATGAACTTTGGACTGGAAAGTAGTCTTTGAAAACATATAACTTAGCTTAATTTGTTCATTTTTTGTCAATGTATTAAGAAGTCGTACTTATCATATTTATAGATAAAGGATTATATGATTTACACTTAGATAAGAAAATGATGTAATAGTATTGCTTCTGCTTTTATAATAAGATTAGTGCGGAAACTTTTTAGAATAATTTCTATACTATAAATATAGGATAAATGGATTTTTTTTGTCAATTCATTGGCTGAATAGTCGATGTGTTTCTATAATATACTTTATATAACTAGACCAGAAATGATGCAAATCTTACGTGAATAGTGCAGTTTTTAGTTCATCATAAACACTCATTTCTAAACTTGGCATGCCATGTTCTGCTTTTGACACCCTGTGGTGTGCGAAGGTTTTTATTAATATGTCTATACCTGCTGGAAGTTATTACATATAAAAGAAATTGATTTGTCTTGAAATATCTATCTCATGAATCGCTGCACTAATTTTGATTCATCATTAATCTAAATAAGTAAATTATAATTTCTGTTTTAGATTCTAAGTAAAACATTTTATACTCATTGATCGGATACTTTATAAACTAAGAGCTAAATTGTTATAATTGTGTGGTTTTTTGTTTAATCTTATGAATAATCAAGTTTTCTTTTTGTTAGAAAAAGTATTTACATATGATTACACAGAAGAATATAAATGAAATTATTTTTAACCACTCAGTAAGATATGACGACATGCCAGTATGATATTGAGAAATATAATTAAAATTAAATCGAGAAAATAATTTTTTCTTCTCACGTGTGAACAATTGAAAGAACATAAAGGACTTTTTTTTCTCGCCCTTGCATTCATTATCTAACTCGTAGGTGTTAGCTGCCTGTTTGTGATAAAATATTAAGAACTAACATTGTTTAAGGATTTCCGTTCTCTGTCATTACATTCTATTAAGTATCTGAAACACTTTCATGGCGACATTTAGAACTAATTTGTGTACGTACATAGGAACGAAGGAGAGAAAAATAAGTGTTAGAGAACAGAACGGATAGATCAATAGTATTATCCAGAAATAAATAAAAAAAAATGTAGGCGTTAAAGATTATAAATAATATTTACTAAATCATTTCTATTCAACATTACATAAATGTTCATGTATATAGAGGCCCGCTTTTCTTTAACTAAATACCCTCAAGGTGATATATCTATTAATTTCAAGCTTTACACATGCAATCTCTATTTTCCTATCAATTGAATTGTAGCACTAGCATATCTATATAGAAAATATAAAACTTATTTTCTTATATATTATTCAGTAATGTCAACATTTTAATAAAAGTTTAGAGTATGATTTATTTTTCTTTACTTAATATTACGTAGATATTTGAAGTAATGACGGAATACAAGTTATTAGACGTCTAATAATTGTATTTTAAGAAAGTAAAGAATCCTGACATCTTAAATAAGGAAAAATCTGACTTTTCTATTAAAATGCGTTGTCATATTTATTTTCTTATTCATGACACTATATCGACTGTTCCTTTTCCGAATCTATAGAAAATCTTTTTTTTTCTCATTTTTTCTCTTCTTCTCCTTCTCTCTCGTTTTCCAACTCCCACTTACATATTCAGTACGCATGTAGATATAATGTCATTTTTCTTCAGTCCTACTTTTTGATGAACATACCATTCGACTATATAAAATTTTATTTTAGATATTCCTTTTTTTTGTTTCTTTTCATCTTAATAAATACAAATGGCCTTGTTATTGATTTCAATTCCTCGTGTCTTATTATTTTTTATGCTTATTCAATCAGTTTCTCTCTATCGAATCTATGCATTAGATGATAATGTAAGTTAATTTTTCTAATACAAAAATTATTTTGAATTTCATATTTTTATAGCATCCGAATTCATTACATCATTCATTATCATCTCCTATCGATGAAACAATTAATCAAGTATTACCTATAAAATATCCTGGATATGATAATGATGATGATGATGATATAAGTGTCAATACCAATAGTGATGAAAATAACGATAATTTACCACCATGGATGTCATTAGTACCAGAAACGAAACAACAATCTATTTGGAAACGTTCGAAACCATTCACACGTCAATCAGCAAAGGCTTTACCACAACGTCGTAATTATCGACCTCATTGGAATCCACTTGTAGCTGCATATAAACGATGTGGTGAATTATCAAGACCCGAAGAACGTGAATCTTGTTTCAAGGATGCTGTTCAAATGCTTTTTGTGCATAAGCTAAGAAAATAATAAAAAAATCTCAGACGAAACAGCTGAAAAAAATAACTATTTCTTAAATATAGACATAAATCGTTTCTTTTTTTATTGGCACGCAAGCGTGTGTATATGTCTGAACTCTTTCATCAGAACTACACCAAAAAAAGAAGAAGAAGAAGATTAATTTAATCAACATTCAAATCTAAATTCTATATAATTGCCTGTTTTTATTTCCGTTTTTCTAATTGTGTAATGTTTCGTGAATAAAGAAGACAGAAGAGAGAAAAAAACTACTAAGAGACAGCTGATAATTGGCTAAATATTATTTTGTATTTTCTCGATTAATGTATCTAAATGTTTAATATTTTCAGAAGAAAAAAACTGAGTCTTTGGTTTGCTAAGATAATTTTTTTTTCTTCCTAATGCTTCAATTAATTGAGACTTGTTGAAAAAGACAAATGATATTGCTTCACATTGAATGTTATATTAAGAACAATTAAGTAGATTGCTGAAAATTTATTTTACATCTTTAATTCACCTGAGTAGAAAAACTATGTTCATCGTTAAACAAATGAAAAGAAAGAAGAAGAAGAAAAACAAAAAAATAACATGTTAATTGTGAGTCTTCTTTCTTTCTTTTTGTTTCTAATTAATCATTTGCATTTGTTCTGTTTCAAGAACACGTAAAATATTTTTTAAAAACATATAATCGGATCGTTGTAATTGAAATTTTCGTATAACATTTTGTACTAATTCTGAACTATTATCAATTGCTGTTGTATATGTTGATTCAATTGTTAATACTGAATTCATTAATGATTGTGTAGGTAGATCAGTAACAGTATGATTAGTTGTTCTACTATGTCTATCATCTGTATCACCACTTGTAATACTTGCTGTTGATGCTGAATCACCAAATGAACTAACACTTTCTTGACTATATAGCTAAATAATAAATTTCAAATTAATTATTAATAAAGTCATATACATATATTATATAATTTAAGAGTTTATACACTTAGGCTATGTTTTTTAATAACACCGGCAATATTCTTATGAACTTACTGATCTATTATTTGCTTTCATATATTTAAGAATTGCTAAAGCTTGAAAATAAATTTCTTGTAAACTATCTTCCATATTTAATAAAACAAAATCAGCTGGTAATAATTGTTTAGCTAAATGTACATGTTCAATTATTGGTTGAATTAATGTTGTACGTTCTTGTTTTCGAGCTATATCATTATGTTTACTTGAATATAAATTAACTGATATATCATCAATATTAATTAATATTGTTATTGATGTATCAATTAATTCACCATCAAGAAATATTCCACCATTTTCTGTTGTATCATATGTATGTTGTGCACATATTGAACGAATAATTTCATTTACATTGGATGTTTCAATAGCTTGTAAAATAAAATCAGATGAATATGAATTTGTAACTGATGATATTAGTGATAGACCTAAATCTAAATGATAATCATTATTTAGACTTATCGATTCATGACCAAGATGATTAGGTTCAAATAATGGAAGTGACATGAGAATTTTTGTTGGTAGTGAATTGACGACGGGTTGTATGGGTGATGGTAATGTTACAGAAGGTGTTGGACGAGAATGTATTGTCGGTGATCTAAAGAAGTTTTTTTTATAAAATTATAGATGTTAAAATGAAATCATTTACTGAATTTGAGTTCTCTGTTCATTAACAATCATTTGATCAATATGTATAACTAATGAATTTAATAATTGTGATATTTCATTATCTTCAACACTGGTACTTTCAAGATCATCTGATGTATATGTTAATTGATAAAACTCTTGTGGTTGATTAAGAGATGTTGTATGATTATGATTAGTATTGGATTCATCCCCAGATAAAATATCAATATCATCTTCAAGATTTTGTTCATCATCATCATCGTCATCACCGTCATGTATACTATGAACAGGTGAATAAGGTTCAATATCTTGTATTTGTGTTGAACTAGCAATTAATTCATCAATATATAAACGAACTTTTTTATAACTTCGATTTTGTTCATCAGTTGTATCAGATAAATTTGGATTTGGATTTTTATAAGTTAAATAACTTGGACGTATAAAAAAACTCATTAAATATAGTAAACGATTGAGTAATGATGAATCAGTACCAACAATTACTGTTCGACAAATATATGGAGGTTGACTATATGCACTGAATAGATCTCTAAATAAGAAAATATAAACAAAAAACATTGGAGAAGACAAGAATTATTAATTTACATTAATTGTCCCCATAAAGGACTGTATTGTAGAAAACTTTGCATTGAACTGGTCTATAAAATAAAATAGATATTACATAATTAATTTTCATATGATTCAATTTCTTTTTACATAATCTGCTTTAGCTTTGAATAGAACCTGTTGTTTAGATTTGATAAGTGATGGTGAAACTGTAGATAACCAAGATAATTGATAGCTAAGCACCGCTGATAAGACACAATTGAGAAAGCTAATATACAAAAAATTTAAAAAAACAATCAAAATATTCTTTTTATATTTAACAGAAACTCTAAGATCATTACTATGGAGAAAAAAAAGAGACAGCCGATGAATCACTAAATTGTTTTTTACTTCTGGAATTTGCGTACGTGTTTATGTCAGTATTGTAATTTTTACATGTATGCGCATTTTCCCCGTTAATCAAAATACTAAGATATATATCTGTCTTATAATGAAGGTCTAGATGACCTCTCCATTTACATTATACAACTTACTCGCCATATTTTGGTGTTGAAAATAAATCAATAATTGAACATAATTGTTGAGCTAATGCACGTCGTTTAGTCATAGTTAGATGTTCTTGTGTTAGAATATACCATGCTGGATAAATAAGTCGTGGACGTGTATATAATGTATAAAGATCATCTTTAAATGTAAATAATCTCTAAAATAATAATCTTAAGATAGTTATTAAAGATTTTTCTTCTTCTTTATATGCATACATCTAATAAAGCAGCAGCAATTGAATTTCGTTCATTGATATTCACTTCAGCTGCTGTCATTATTTTTTGAAAATGATTCTCGATTAATGGTGCATGTGTACAAAAAAATTCTTCAAAGTGTCTATTATAAGATACTTAAAGAAAATCATTAAATGAATAGAAAATTATTACTTATATTTTGATAGTTCATCTTGTTGAAATGTAACAATAAATGCAATACCTATACATCGACGATGACGACGACCAGGCTAAAATAATATTACAAATTATTATTTTGGGAATATTTCTATTCGTATATATATTTATTTACTTGTCTTTGATTTTGTTTTATTGCTCGATTAGCAACTTTTAACCATCGACGATAGAGTCGACCAAATTTATGATTTGTTAAATCTTCACCGAGTATATCAATACTTGATATTGTTGACGAAGCAGCACTAACACCTGAACTTACTAAAATTGAAAAAAAATAAAAAGATATATTTTTATGATCATTAAATCAAACTATACATGATCGATTGATATGTGATGGTAGAAATGGATTTAAAGGATTAACTGGTGCAGTATCTGGTTCTGATGTTGTGGATGTATTCACTATTCCATCAGGTCTATAACTAACGATAATTATTGAATTAAAAAAATTAATTTAATACCTGTCTGCTAGTTTAACAGCAAATACTCGACTCATCATTATTTGTAATGGTGATCTAGAAAGAAAAGAATTAGTAGAAATCAATTAATTTGAATTCATAACTAAACTTACTTGCTTGTATGAACTTTCATACCAGTACCTTTAAATAATAATGGCATAGTACCAAATATATAATCAGCATAATTTCTTATATCATTAGAAAATTTCCTTAACTAAAATGAGAATTCAAAATTAATAAAAATAAAGACTTGTTATTTATATTAATATTAACTTCATATTGTTTTCCTTTATGAGTAAAACGCGATATAGCAGGATTAACACGAGCACCACTATTACTACTTGGTCCAACTGGAGGTTTACCTGTTGCATACTAGAACAAAAAATGTTCAAGGTTAATTGAAATAAACGTATAATAAAAAAAAGATTGAATATTACATTTGATGAAGGAACTCCGGATAGAGATGTACGAGAATTTGTTGCTATTGATGATTTATTATTTATATTATTATCATTATCAGTAGATGGAACAACACGTAAAGTTTTTGAATCAAATATAAGTTGTAAACCAGTATCATCACTATCAGAAAAAACAAGAAGACGAATATTATCTCGATTAAAATCTGGTGGTATCCATTGTCTATTTAAAATAAGAATGAATAATGAAATAAATTGTTAATAAAAGATTTATTAATATACGGTAAATCAAGAGGAGTTAGAGGAGGTGTCGAATTCGAGGATGATGCAGTACCAGTTGTAGCATTTTTCTTCGATGTCGATGATGGATTTTTTCCAAAGACACGATTTAAAATTGAATTCATCTTTTACAAAAAAATTTAATACGAAAAAGAAATATCTATAACATTAGACAATTCAATTTCGGAACGAAACATGATTGACTACAAGATGATTTTCCTTCTTCTCGTGATTCTATTGTATTATGCTTTTTTCCAATAAGCAACAATCTCTAATAAACAATTGATATATAACGCCATCTAGTGATCTAACTACGATATCTAGAAACATATATTCAAGAACTTGAATTTTTTTTATTTCTATTTAAATAGAATAAAAAGATGATGAAAAATTGTAGTTCATATAGTATATTTATTTTTTCTATTACAGTTGTCAAAATCGATTGATCTGTTATATATACGAAAATATCAATGCATAACAAAGACATTAACAGAATCAGAATAAGCAAAACGAAAAGAAAAAAGGAAAAAAGAAAAAAAAGAACTAAGAAACAATTAGGAGAATTCGTATGCTTGTGGTTTATGTGCACCAGCACATCCATGTAATGTTGCAGTAATTGATTCTTCGGACAAATCATCTTCAGTATTGGCATAAATTTGAATATGATAACCATTAAAAAATCTTTCAAATTCAGGCTTATGAGTTGAAACACGTGCACGACGTATTGCAGGCTAATGAAATAGAAAATTTATTCAAAAGAAAAAGATTTATAATAATAATACTTACTACACCTGCACCAACATATGTAATAAATACGAATTTTGCACGTTTACTACCGTGATCATCAACAGCTCGAACGCGTGCAACACCAAAATAAACTTGATTGTTATTCATTTGTGCTTTCATTTCCGTTAAACCACCTGTACCTTTACCACTAAGTACAACATCATTATTTTCACCGTAACTCAATAGAATCCTAAATTTAAAGATTAATAAATATTATTTATAAAAATATTTTCTACCAATTCGTGTCTGCAGCATCATTTCTGACTTCTTGCCAGGCTTCTTGTATGTCAGGATTACTCAAATCAACTGAACGTTTTGCTCCTGCCATAGTAAAATATCTAAAGAAAAATTAATGTATGTGGTTAGTTTTTTACTTTCATAGCTAAATCACACAACTATAACGAAGAAAAAAAAATGATGTGTATTATAATCTGTTGCGCATCGCATTACATCTACGTTAGATAACCTTTTTTTCTTTTTTTGCTCGGCCCCTCAACGTTTTTGATAGAAAGAAGAACAAGAAAGAGAAGAAAAAAACGAAAAAGACAACGACCATCATCATCACATAGTTCGAAAGATACCGTTGTTGTTGTTGATGATGAAGCATATCGTATCTTTTCGTACTGTAAAAATAACTCTATTATGAAGTATTTACATATTATTGTTATAAAGCAAACTAAGAGAAGTTTATTGACTGAAAAAAGTAAAAACAAAAAGGCAACAAACTGAAAGTTTAACAAAGTTTCTTTATTCAATAAAGAGATGTTTTGTTAAATTCTAATGTACTATTTAAATCATTTGCTTTAAAACCTATAATAAAAAGTTGAAATAATTATAATAAATACGTTTGTATTATATATTATAAAACATTAGTTTTTTATCAATTTGTATTCATTATAATATTGTCTAAACCATCAGAACAGTTTAAAATATAATTCACAATCATATATGACTTTCTTCTTCATACATTTTTACGTCTACATGATTCATCTACTTTATATTCTCGACATTGTCCTTTATTTTTCACTACAAGTGATCGATCATCATTACTATGCGAAGCAAATTTATTATATTCTTTATTCTAAATAAATAATTAGAGTTTTTGATATTTGTTTCTAAATGGTACTTTACTCGATGAGTATCTATAGAAAAAATATTTATAGGGTGTCAACAATTCAAAATTTTGTCCTCTTGGTAAACCATGATTCTACAAGAACAACGGACATGTAGATTTTGAGATATTTACTTTCTTTGCTTAGAATGTTGTTTTTATCGTCTGAAGGAATGAAACAATATGAGCGTATGCTTCTTATTTTCAAATGAATTCAACATGTTGTTCGGTACGAACGAGAAAATATTCATTAAATTCTATTTTAATATTATATGGACATGTTTTATCACATTATGAGGATGAGAACAATAGCGAAAAACTGCGGCAGACAAAAGTCTCGAATTAAGTAAAAGGATTTACTAAATAATCATATTTTCAATATTCAAAGTTGCAGTGACATTCATTTAATCAAAATATTCACTAATAAAAAAACTCATTCTGATGATCTTTTATATGTTTTCATAAAATTACATGCATACATCTATATATACGTAAACATTGTGTACAAATAAAACAGAAGAAAAAAAAATAGTATAACAATGAATTCAATCAATATTGGATGGAATAAACAAGTACCCGATCGAGTTCAATTTACTTCTAATACAAAATATATCGAACAAGATCTAACTCAAGAAATGAAGAATAAAGAGAAACACTCTATAAAAAAATTTGTTCGTTTTAACGATGAAATATCTAGTAATAAACAACAAGTATTTGAAAATGCTGCATATGATGTTTCGGAAACAGTTCATTCACAAAAATCAATTTTTAAAAATCATGGTTTTCCTACTCTATCAACAAATATCTTTGCAACTAAGTAAATAAAAACTATATTCATTTCGTGTGAATGTGTAATATTATTTAGATTATCAAATATCAATGATAAACAATTGTGTAGTGCACGAGCTATATTTATTACGTTAATTATTGTAGTATCCATTATTATAGTTACAGCTATAGCTATTGGTATTGTATTTGGTATTATTGGTTCTCGACAAAAGGATAATAATGATCAAAATTCATGTAAATACTTTTTTTTTACATTCTTTGAATATAAAATTAGACATGAAATATCTGTTGTATTCTAGTATCAACAGTATCAATAACGGTATTACTCAGTAGTGTTAGTATAGGAAGTCAAATTGGACAACCTTGTTTATCATATACAACAATCAATGATCCTACACGAAATATTGCGCAAAATCTAAATTACGGTACTTGCGATAATGGACCCTTATTTAATGCGAGTAATGGTGGTTCTTGGATACGGTTTGTTGGCACTGGTGGTACTATAATTCCATTTACATCGGCTGGCGATTACCATTGTGGTGCTTTTTCATCAGGTTGGTTTAATGGTACGCTACCAACAGCAGTAGGTATTTCAAGCAATGGAACGGTATGCTTCGGTGTATATATGCATTCTTGTATTTCCATGGTTAATGTGAAAGTGGTTAATTGTAATGGCTACTTCGTTTACTTTCTACCTCCTGCACCTTTGTGTAATGCGCGCTATTGTACTACATGACTATATATGAATAGCATAAATTTGTGTTTATCAACTCTACTTTCTTTTTATTATTTTGTAAAATATAGAGTTTAGTTTTGTATACTAAGATCAAGAAAAGGAAATTCATATGTTGAACAAATACGTTGAGCAATCGAAAGAAGTGCTTGATCTTGCATGAATGGACCAACTAATTGTAAACCAATAGGAAATCCTTTGCTTGATAATCGAACTGGAAAACTAAGTGCTGGTAGACCTAAGAAATATATGACTATACTTAAGTATTTTAAAGAGATCTAAAAAAATATATACCAGCTAAATTAGCACCAACAGTAAATAAATCATCTTCACTAAATATATGATCTGATTTTTGATATTCAGCAAGTGTTATTGGATCATCACATACAACTGGTGCTAATAAACAATCGATTTTATCTTCTTCAAATACTTTTTTATGATCGTTGACTACACCACGTCGTACTCGTTGACTTTGAACAAAATATTTTTCATAATTCCTAAAAAAATAAAATCTAATCTAAATATCAAAAAAAAAGAATTGATCATTTACTCTTGTAATAAATAATAATTTCCAGCTAGAATACGACCACGAACACGTTCACCTAAACTTTCATCACGTGTTTTTGTTACGATATCTTCATATGTATCCTTATTTTTATCAATATTCTTCGTATGATGACCTACAATATTCAATAAGAGTTTTTCTTTTGAATTACAACAAAAGATAATACTATACCATATTTAATTCCATCATATCGTGCCATATTTGAAGCAATTTCACATGCACTTAAAATTGTATAAGCGGCATTAGAATATGATGTATGTGGTAGTTGTACTCGTCGAAACTCAAATTCACCTGTTTCAGTCAACTGATGAACAAGATCATGCCAACATGAACGATATTCAGTTGATAAAGTACCAATGTCATAATCCTATTATAAAATTTAATAAATATCTAATAAATATGAATACACAAATTGCTTACATCAGGCAAACCAATAATAATTTTTCTTTTTTCTTTTGATAATTCTGTTGATGTTTTTAAAGGTTTAAATGGTTTTGGTATTAGAGTTGCATCTTCATTATCAGGACCAGCAACAGCATCTAAATTTGAATTATAATTTTTTTAAAACATGAAGATTTATAATAGAAAAATTACTTGTTGCATATATTAAATCATCAATATTTCGAGCAAAAAAACCAGGTGAATCAAAAGAATTAACTAATGTAATCATACCATATCGTGAAAGTAAACCATATGATGGTTTAAATCCATAACAACCACATCGTGCAGCTGGATTACGTATTGATCCACCTGTATCTGATCCGAGCGCTCTGAAATAATATTATTACAAGTTTATTTTACGAAAAATGCAATTAATCATTTCTTTACATAGACACAAAATTTGCTGCTACAGCAGCCGCACTTCCACCTGAGCTTCCGCCAGCTATATGCAATACTGTTTTATTATCTTCTTCATTGGTTGCCATTGTTTTTGTTAAACTCCATGGATTTGCTACAGGTCCAAATGAACTCCAACTTGCTATACTGAAGAATATCTAGAATTAATGGAAAATATTCTCACTTATTTTCAAAAACTTCAAATATACCCCATAGCAAATTCGTCCATATTAGTTTTTCCTACAATAATACAACCATGATCGATTAACCGTTGTACAATAGTACTTGTATAAGGTGCACGAAAATTTGCAAGCATTTTTGAAGCACATGTTGTTAATGTATCACGCAAGCAAAAGTTATCTTTAATTAAAATTGGTCGTCCATTCAATGCCGAATTATCTATGAATAGGAAATGAATATATATATATATATACATCCATCAGTCAAGAAAAACTAATGATTTATACTTTTCTTTTGCGATAATAGTTGCTGTTCAGTTTCAAGTGCTGTTTCAAAACAATCATGTGTTAGAGTATTAAGAACTTTATAACGTTGAACAGCGTTGATAATTGAACGAACTGTGGAAGGTGTTTTATTTGATAACATTTCATTAAGAGAATTTTGGCTAAAATATTCGAGAAAAGTATGTACAAAAGTCATTGGTTTATATATCAACCAGAAATCTTTTTTCTTTACTGTACAAACCAAATATATTCTTCTTAGACGTCGCTATTAGCCATGGTTGTATTATTCTTTTTTTTCTTTCTTTCTTTCCCTTATCGAAATATCATATCATTCATTCATTTACATACTTTGTTTTCGAACCATAACCATGATTTCTATCTATACCGTTGATTCGTTTACACGTGAAATATTTAAAGGTAATCCAGCTGCTATTTGTACTTCGTTTCGTGATGTACCATCTTCAACGGATCTTGATATATTTTTTCAACAGATTGCAACGGAAATGAATATATCTGAAACGGCTTTTATTACAAAAGCTAATGATTCATCTTCGAATTCACGTTATTTTCTTCAATGGTTTACACCAACAAATGAAGTTGATTTATGTGGCCATGCAACATTAGCTACGGCTCATGTTCTTTTTGAAGAATTTCTTCAAAACTCTTCTATAGATGAATTAATTTTTGAAACAAAAAAAGTTGGCGAATTAAAAGTGAAAAAATGTGATAATCAAGGTCGTTTACAACTTGATTTTCCTATGGGTGATCCGCAATCCATTGATCTGGATAATCAAATATTAAATGAAATTAAATCAAAATTAAATATAACACAAGATATTATTACTATTCAATTATGTAAACGAACAAAAAAACTTTTAATTCATCTATCTTCTATAGATGATAATATAAAACCACAACAAAATCTAACTGAAATTCAATTTGATCAATCTATACAACCATTCATACGTGGTATTATTCTTACTAGCAAATCAACAATACCAACAACAACTGATTTTATTTCTCGTTATTTTGCTCCATGGAATGGTATTCTTGAAGATCCAGTTACTGGTAGTGCACATACAGTTCTCGCTGTTTATTGGTCTCGAATATTAAATAAATCAGTTCTTAATGGTTATCAGAAAAGTGCTCGTGGTGGACATGTTGAATGTGAATTAGATATGAAAAATCAACGAGTTTTATTACGTGGTCATGCTGTTACTGTCATGCAAGGTCAACTTCAAATTTCACGGGATAGTTTATTAAAAAATAAAAATTAATTGAAATAAAATAAGTAATATTTATATATGATCGCATGAGAACTTTGTAGTATTTAATGAGATAAACGGGTGAGTATGGGTGTTGATTCGTCTTTTCTTTATCCACAACATACCCACACCGGGAAATGTTACAAGTAAGTTATTTGATGGGATGATATGAGATATTTTTGAAATCTTCCCATCCTGTCAAATGGGATTCCTTTCAAAAAATCTATCATCCCATCCCATGTGAAGTCCCTATATATATATATTCAATATAGAATAGAGATTATTATTGTGAAATAATATCATTGTAAAATAATTGAAAAATATGTATCAAGTCAATAAAAAATCTGTCGTTCTTTATTCACTATTAATCTTTTGTTATATTATCAATTGCAGTGCTGCTTGTAATTGTCAATCTGGAATGTGTTGTTCAAAATAGGGTTGATGTGGTCATGGTCGTGATTATTGTCGATCAGGAGCTTGTTGGTCAGGTAAAAGTGGTTCATACAGTGGAAGATGTACATATTATCATGTTCATGTTGGACTTACAGCATGTGGTACGCAACATGGTGATCATGAATACATTGTTGCAATGAATTCGGCTCAAATTGATCTTCACACACCAAATAAAAATCCAAATCATAATTCCTTATGTGGTCGAAGAATACAAGTAAATGGTCCTCGTGGCTCAGCTGAGGTTCAAATAGTTGATAGATGTCCAGGTTGTCCATATGGTGGTTTAGATTTATCACCTGCAGCATTTCGGACAGTTGCCGGAAATCTTGATGTAGGTGTTGTTCATGTCACATGGAATTGGAAATAATTATTTCTACTCATAATTACGTTTATAAAACTAATTACCGCTTTTTCTTCTATACATTTCTACTTTATTAAACGTATGTTATTTAAAACCAGTGCTGCCACCTTGTCTGCTTTTAGCAGACAAATTCTGCTTTTTGAAGATTTTTCTGCTTTTTGTCTGTCCTTTCTGCTTTTTTAAAAATATCAAGTCATTGACTTTCATTCATATTTGTAATCAGTAATTACTATCTGAATGATCATTTTTTGAGTTTTAAAAACAAACTTCAACCGGTAATGACTCATATTATTATTTTGTTCTAATGCAATTTCTATTATATAATTCCTGTACTTTAGTGGCTAAGAACGAATCCCATGTATATATTTTATATTTATTCCATTCTTTATCTATTTCTCTTTTGTCATTCTTCTTACGATTTGTTTGACTCATACAAATCAACATATATGTTTTCTCTCGCTCAAGCTCCAAATTTCAAAAAACTCATGTTTTTTATATTCTTTACCATGTAGTAATGCTTATATTGAGTCACCATTTTGACAATTAAAACATTTATGTAATGATAAAGGAAATCGTATGACAACTGAACTTATCTCAGCTGAATTAAAAATACGATTAAACTCGTCATTATCATATATTGATATGCATAAACATGTTTTATCGAATCAAGACTTGTTAAAAGCTATTAAATCAGATGAAAAATGTTTCAAACAAAATATATCTAATAATTTTATGTATTTGTATTTGTTTTTCTTGGTCTTATTTAATAAGTATTGAAATTTCATAAGTAATTTTCAAATATTATGTCGAATCTAAGCTTTTTATAGTAGATTTATGTATGAAACTCTAGGGATGTCACTTTCACTTTAACTTTGCGTTTAAAGTAAAATTTAAAGTTGTTTAAAACAAGAATTTTTTATCAGTAATAACAATAAAATTCTTCAATTGATGAGTAATGAATCAAATATTTCAAAGTTAGAGATTACTATAGGGTGTGGGTGAGTTAATGAGGATGTATATATAAGATGCAGAATACAATAGCACCTACACTCACACCCAAGATTTTTAATTTATGAACAAAAAAAACTATGCGAGAAGTTTTTCGAGAAAAATTGAATTAACTTCGATTTTTCTAAATGAACATTTTATTTTCTAATAAAAATATTTATTATTTCAAATCAATATGATAACAAGTTCTGAATATAACAATGAAAATAAGGTTTACATGAATAAAATCGTATAAATTATCGATATAACGTGAGAAAAGAATCGAAACAAAATGGTGATTAACTGAAATTTAGCATACAAGTATCTTTTCGATAAATCGCTAATTTTTTAGCGATTTTGAGTACATAAAAAGAAAAAATGATCGTCCATGAGGCAAAGAAAAGGAAAATAAGAGAGAACGAAAAAAAACACGTATCTGATCGAATGATTAATAATCGATGTTGTAAAGGTATGTATATTCGTTTTCTTTCATTCGAAACATACGTTTATTTATTTTATCATTACTACATAACCAAGTAGCAGCACATGGTAAGATATTATTGACTTTTATCTTACATTCTCGTTTTAACTGACCATCTTTCTTTTAAATCGTCGTAAGAGAGAGAGCAGAGGAAAGTAGATCATATTGGAAGCTGTATGCCAGTTGTCTTAGGAAAGACCAACCATGCTGATGAGTGTCAGAGCCGACACTGGAGCGAAATATTCATCAGCGAACAGTCATGTTTTACCATTTTTCGTTTTTTTTCTGGTCTTCAATGAAATTTACCTAATTTCTAGGCCTTCAAAAGGAGTACAAGTTTCCTAGACGTAAAACGACGACATCAATTTTACTTTGCTAATATCACAAAAGCAAAATCAGGTTTCGCGTCAACGGTACTACGCGCATTGACAGGTATGAACCGAAGAAAAAAAGACGTAGTCTTATTTTACATTGTTCTAGCTGCTAAACCATCACATCCTGTCTACGCATTGATTGCTGTCGACGTTCAAAATGGTTTTATTAGTGGAAAACTTTCATTGTCAAAAAGTCCTGCTGGTCACGATGGCACTGAGGTTGTTCCTATTATAAATAATTTGATCCAGACAGTTCCATTTGATGTTATTGTCTATACACAAGACTGGCATCCACAGAATCATATCTCGTTTTTCGACAATCTTGAGTTGCGTAGAAAATTTTTGAAAGGTGATCAAAATCGGACGATAAACATGTTTGATGAAGTAATATATACCGGTCCGAAAGTCGAAACGGAGCAAGTTCTATGGCCCACTCATTGTGTTGAGAAAACAGACGACGCAGCACTGCACAAAAATCTTGATATTATTTCAGACACAAACAAAGTTATTTTTATTAAAAAAGGTGTTGACGCCGATATTGACAGTTACTCGGCATTTAGCGACAACAACGGAGCTAAGAAAACCGACCTACACGAGAAGTTAAAAGAGCGCAATGTTACACACGTTTTTGTTACTGGATTAGCAACGGATTATTGTGTTGCAGCAACGGCTCTTGACGCTTTGAATTTGAATTATACGACATTCATTGTCGAAGATGCTTGTAGAGGTGTCGCCCTGGATACTATCAAAAGCAAACTAGACGACCTGAAACAACTTGGAGTTAGAATTATTCAAGCGGATCAAGTCAAACCATTAGTTAATAGCACCAATGTCCGTTGAAGCAAGAAGTGGGAAAACTATGAACTTTAACCCATAATAGATGAGTTTTAAACTAGGGTGTGGATGACGCCGTTATACTATCATGACACTCACACCCAATACTAAAACATTAGTTTGAGGATTTCAATCAATAAAACTAAACGAACTATACATGATAGTACACAAAAATATTAAAACCTTTCTAAAACTGCAGTTTTTGTTATCGAAATTTTTCTTTGTTGATTATTCCCTGAAAGAAAATTAGGAAAAATAAGAATTATATTTGAATTTGATACTTCCAAATGTGAACTTTTTCTTGTGGTTTCTATAAAGATTTTTCTCTAATGCGTTACGTATTTGAAAAGATATTTTCAAGCAAAATACAGAACATTTTGCAAAGTTGATTTATTGTTAATTGAAGAAGAATAATTATATCTGATCAAAACTAGATAAACTGAAATGATGGAATTTTCATAAAATTCGTTATCAGATGAAGAAGATTGATGCTTTGAATTTTTCTTCTTTTCATCAAATATATTTCTTAATACATAGTTTTTATTAGATCAATAAACAAAATCAACAAAAAAACTAGTTTGAAAAACGTGTTTTATTCATCAGATGCATCTGATTTGTTGAATTCGACGTTTTTGTCTGAGTCATTATCATTAGATAAATCAAGTTTGACAACTGTGTTTGGTTTATTAGGTTAATCGTTCGATTCACAATTTGTATTGGGTTACTCGGTAATATATTAAACGAGATCAAGAATAATTACTGGGTCGAGTTCATGAATGGTTTAGCCGGAAGGAGGAGTTGTTTCGATGTAATCAAGCAAATGATTAATTAGTTTGATCTCTTGGTTCGTTTGAGCCAAAAATCCTGCTACTTGTTGTTGGAGTTTGGTATTAGCTGTTGCAGCAGGATTTTGAAGCAATGCTTAACGCGTATTGAACCGTGTATTTGCTTGTGTTTCCATTTCTTTTAATTGTGTGATCTAATTAGATATTGTAGTATTTTAGTAAGTTTAAGAAGATACTATTATAATCCTTACCGAGAATTTAGTATCACGTAAAAAACGTAGAAAGTTACAACGATGCATCATGGTTAAAACTATGAATGCAGTTTTCCAGAACGATCGTTCTGACCACCAGAAACGGTGTCTTAAACTGCTTCAAACGATTATAAACTGCTGTATTACTGCATTAACTCTCACGGTATTTAGCCGCAATCAGCCATCCCGAAAAAGTAGCCGTGAGTGTGGGTGTAGGTGTGTGGATGTACATGAGACAAGAAGTGAATATCCACGCCCACACCCTCAAGATGTGTTCGACGAATTGGTCGCAATCGTTCGAAAAGTTCAATCGATTAATTTTTTTTTGTGGTAATGCAATTTATTATGTTTATGATCAGTTGTATGCCGATATCATTTTGTATTGAATTAAAGACATTGACGATTTTCATATATTCTATTAAATTGTTTATTATATTTATTTCATCAACTGATTGATCATAAAAAGCACCAAATGTAATATTACCAGATGAAGTAGCTTGTTTATTCATGTTATCATAAGTTTTTGAACGAATAATTGCTTCTTTTTTTAGTTTATTTAAACCAGCTTTCTATTTATAAAGAATAAAATAAAATTTTGTTTGTTAATACATTAATTCAATCCTTACTTCGAAATTGCTTTGAAGTATTGAACGAAGAAAGCTTTGTCTATTATGCATTTGATTTTGATGAAGCTATAAAGATAGTTACATATAAATGTATGTGTATATATAGTTTTTTTGAGGGTGGGGTTGGGCACAGAAGACAAGAGAAAGAAAGAATAATGTGCCTGGGCGATTGAAGAGAGAGAGAGAGAGTGAGGTGAATGTGTACAAATTTTTTTCAAGGTCGAGCAAGTCAAATTCCAATGAAGTCTTCTTGATAAATTTTATTTTTATTTAAATAAGTTGATCTTCGAAGCATATTTTAAATGAAGAATATGGTTACTCTTCAGAAAAACTTTTTCTGTTAAACATCTATTTAATAATACTCTCAATATCTCATTAAGAAAAATAAACTCGAAAACTATGGATGAGAAATAATTAATTAAAATCTAAGATCTTTTTTCTAGAACAAAAAAATCTTTACCTACTAACACTTTTTTCAACAACATGAATATCAGGTTTAAAATGTAAACTTATTGTATCAACATATTAATAAAGATAATGTTATTCGTGATTCAGTACAGGTTCTTGAGGGTGTGGATGTGGGTTTGGGTGTGTATTTATTCTTTCCAC